CGCCCCGCGGCCAGGGCCAGGGCCAGGGCCAGGGCCAGGGCCAGGGCCAGGGCCAGGGCGGCGGGGACACGTACCGCCCCAAGCGGCCCACCACCCTCAACCTCTTCCCGCAGGTGCCGCGGTCTCAGGTGAGGCGCGAGCGGCGGGGGGCGGGGCTGGAGGGGCGGCGCCCGGGGGTGGACCCCGCGGAGGTGCGAGGGTGGAGGGGCGGCGCGGGAGAGGGACGCGCCTGGGGGTGGTGGTCGGGGAGGACAGGTGGCGTCTGTCCTGAGGCCGAGGGGCTGAAGGGGTGATGGGCTGGGGGCAGGACGGATCTGCGTGAGGAAGCGGGCTTGGAGGGCTTGAAAGGGGTTGGGGCTCCGGACTTGAGGCCGCTTCCTCTCGGGGTGTGGGGTTTCTGGCCACCGAGCACTGAAGTCATCCCAGTGGGGGCAGGTCATCGGAAATCGTGGAGATCTGGGGATGGGGCGCCCAGGGGCAGCGGCCAGTTGGAAATGTGGGCAGCTGGGAATTCCCAGAAGGCAGGGAAGAGACATGGGAGGCGGCGCCACTGGCCGAGTTGGGGGCTCAGGGCCCCTGGGCTGGGTGGCGGGATGCCAAGGAGGGTTGAATAGAGTGGGGGAGAGGCGGCTGTGGCCCTCTGGCTTCAGGCCTAGTCCGGAGAGGTGCTGAGGCGACCTCCCGGAGTTGGGGCTGTTGGGGTGATGCAGGGGCCCGCAGGATCCTCTGAGCTAGCGGATTTCGGCTGGGCTTCGGCTGCCCAAGTCATGAGTGTGAGGGTGTCTCCAGGAGAGGGGGCTGTGCATGGAGCCATCACAGAGGGGGTCCTGGGGCTCAGCCTGTGGGACGGGCAGCCCAGGAAGGAGGGCTGCTGACCAGTGCATCTGTCATTCCTCAGTCATGTGCTGCGGGGGGTGGGGGTCCTGGCGTGGACTTGTCATTTGGGTGAGTCATCCATCCCCAGGCCAGTAGCTGGGAAGACCCTTCCTTCTGCTATTCTGAGGCTCCACCAGAACGTCCCTGCCCCTTCCCTAGGCCAGAGTGGCCTAAGCTCTAGGTGGCCTGGGCTGGAGTGGAGCATCTTGTGTGTCAGCCCTTGGGGTCTAGGACTAGGGTCTGGTCTGTCCCAGGCTCCTCCCCTCGCTTCCACCACTCACTCGGGTCTCCACCACCTTTGCTGAGGTTGACGAGAGCATCTCTCTGAGAGCTGGCCAGTGTGCCTGGCCAGGACGCCCTGTGACCTGCCTCCCCTGCTGCCCGCCCCAGAGTAGCCCTGGGGGTGAGGCCCTTGGCAAGTGGGGTGGGTGCAGCAGTGGCCTAGGGATGGCCTGATGGGGGCAGGGCCAGGGCCTCCCTGTGCCGGGCACTGCTGACGGCTTTTGTCACAAGAGCCCTTTGTTCCTCACACAGGACACACTGAATAATAATTCTCTGGGCAAGAAGCACAGTTGGCAGGATCGGGTGTCTCGATCATCCTCGCCCCTGAAGACAGGTGAGTGAGGACCCTTTTCCTTGCCAGATCTCCATTTGCCCTCAGTCCTCACTGCCGACAGCAAACCCGGCAGTCTGCAGCTTGTCCTTAGAGTGCCCTGCCCTGCCCAGACGGGGTAGCCCTGGCATGAGGGGATGGCCCCAGGGCCTGCAGGGCCCAGCGGGTGGGGGAAGGCTCCGCCTGGGTTGTTAACACGCTGCGGGGAGGTTCGCCAGCGAGGTGGGGAGGGCACTGCCTCCCCCACTGACCTGCCTGTTCCCCAGGGGAGCAGACACCTCCACACGAACACATCTGCCTGAGCGATGAGCTGCCACCCCAGAGCAGCCCTGCCCCCACCAAGGATCGAGGCACCTCCACCGACAGCCCTTGCCGCCGCAGTGCCGCCACCCAGATGGCACCGCCCAGCGGCCCCCCAGCCGGCCCCCCCGGTGGTCGGGGCCACTCGCACCGAGACCGCATCCACTACCAGGCGGACGTGCGGCTGGAGGCCACCGAGGAGATCTACCTGACGCCAGTGCAGAGGCCCCCAGACCCCGCAGAGCCCACCTCTGCCTTCTTGCCGCCTGCTGAGAGCCGGATGTCAGTCAGCTCGGATCCAGACCCTGCCGCCTACACCTCAACTGTGGGGCGGCCCCACCCCTCCATCAGTGAAGAGGACGAGGGCTTTGACTGCTTGTCGTCCCCAGAGCGGCTCGAGCCGCCAGGAGGAGGGTGGCGGGGGAGCCTGGGGGAGCCGCCGCCGCCTCCACGGGCCTCGCTGAGCTCGGACACCAGCGCCTTGTCCTACGACTCGGTCAAGTACACGCTGGTGGTGGACGAGCATGCGCAGCTGGAGCTGGTGAGCCTGCGGCCGTGCTTCGGAGACTACAGCGACGAGAGCGACTCGGCCACGGTCTACGACAACTGCGCCTCCGCCTCCTCGCCCTACGAGTCGGCCATTGGCGAGGAGTACGAGGAGGCCCCCCGGCCTCGGCCCTCAGCCTGCCTGTCTGAGGACTCTACGCCTGACGAGCCCGACGTCCACTTCTCCAAGAAGTTCCTGAACGTCTTCATGAGTGGCCGTTCTCGCTCCTCTAGTGAGTGCAGAGCAGGGAGCAGGGGGAGACCTGGCTGGGGAGTACCATCGGGAGGGATTTCTGGGGGGGCACGGGCCCACGTGGCCCAAGGCTTTGGAGAGAGCTCTCCTCCGCCCCCAAGCCTCAGCCCGAGCTGGGACCCTCCTTCTCCAGCCCACCCCCTCACTTACAGGTGCAGAGTCCTTCGGGCTCTTCTCCTGTGTCATCAACGGGGAGGAGCAGGAGCAGACCCACCGGGCCATATTCAGGTAAGACCCCCGCGCAGCGCTGGCCTCCTTCAGCTCACAGCCGACACTGTGAGCCACCTCTGGCTTTCATTCATCTACTCAGCCCCCCGGGGACAGTGTCCACCCCCCAAGACCTCAGAGAACGGTGGAGTGGCTGCTTTCCATGCAGCGAGGCTTTGCCGTGCTGCGCGAGCCGGGCCTGAACCCTTGGCCTGCCGGGGTCAGGAGCCAGGAAGTGCCCAGCAGAGGCTGCCTGGCCAGGGCCCACACCCCAGCCCCCTCCCAGTGCACATGCTCACTTCCCACGACCACTCAGTTTCATCAGCGGCCCTGGCCACATCTTCCCCTGGCCTGTGAACTCCTCGTGGAAGACTGGGAATGAGCATGGCTCCCCCGTGAACGAGCAGTGACAGGCACACAGGATGCTTTGCAAATGTTTATTCAACTAATGATGTTGCCGTAGCTCCCGGACCCCAGAGCAGGGGCCTGGCTGAGAGGCCTCGGTGATGGACACCTAACGTGCGCTTTGCCGGGGACAGGTTTGTGCCTCGACACGAAGACGAGCTGGAGCTGGAGGTGGACGACCCCCTGCTGGTGGAGCTGCAGGCGGAGGACTACTGGTACGAGGCCTACAACATGCGCACAGGTGCCCGGGGCGTCTTTCCCGCCTACTACGCCATCGAGGTCACCAAGGAGCCCGAACACATGGCAGGTAGGTTTCCCCTGTCCCTACCCGGTGCCACCGGCCTACCTCTGCCCCTCCCGACTCGCTGCCCGGTGACCATCAGCTCCAGACCTCAGCCACCCAGGCGGGAGGCTGAGCGAGACTGGCGCCTCCTCACAGTTAGCAGCCAGGGCTGGCCACGCTGGGAGGTGTGTGGACGCGGCACCCCCCTCCGGCCCTGCCACTGCTCACACCACACTTTCTTCCAGCCCTGAGCAAAAGCAGCGACTGGGTGGACCAGTTCCGGGTGAAGTTCCTGGGCTCCGTCCAAGTTCCCTATCACAAGGGCAATGACGTCCTCTGTGCCGCTATGCAAAAGGTACCTGCTCCCTGGCCCCGCTGGGGCCAGCTCCCGTCCCCTTGCCGGCAGAGGGACTCAGCCCCTGACGCTCCTGTCCCTCGCTACAGATTGCCACCACGCGCCGGCTCACCGTGCACTTTAACCCGCCCTCCAGCTGCGTCCTAGAGATCAGCGTGCGGGGCGTGAAGATAGGCGTGAAGGCCGAAGACTCCCAGGATGCCAAGGTGACGGGCCTGGGCCCCGGCTCCCCAGCCCGTGCTCCCGCCGCGCCACCTCCTGTCCGCTGACGACACCCTTCCTTCTCTCTTCCCTCATACAGGGGAATAAATGTAGCCACTTTTTCCAGTTAAAAAACATCTCTTTCTGCGGATACCATCCAAAGAACAACAAGTAAGTGGGATGGGACACAGGTCGAGGTTGTGGGCAGGGGTCATCTGGGGCCGTGGAAGCAAGGTGTGGGTCCTTGAGTGTGCCTGGGGGGTCTGAGGCAGCCCCACCAGACCGCTCTCTTCCCACAGGTACTTTGGGTTCATCACCAAGCACCCCGCTGACCACCGGTTTGCCTGCCACGTCTTTGTGTCTGAAGAATCCACCAAAGCCCTGGCAGAATCTGTGGGGTACGTCCCTGTGTACATCCTGCCCAGCGTCCCTGCGAGCAAGCCCCAGTGAGCTCGGGCTCAGAGCACGTCCCCAGGCTCGGCGGCCTCCCTCAGTCCTCCCCAAGGCGCTCACACTACCATGCAGGGCCCTGGAGAGAGACTGTAGTTGGAGGAAGCAGCTTGGACAGAGGGAACCGGAAGCCCACCCAGGGACCCCGTGCCCCGATTTGAACACTCTGGGTGGCGCGCATGTTCCTCCCGTCACCGAGTCTCCCTGTCCCCTAGGAGAGCGTTCCAGCAGTTCTACAAGCAGTTTGTGGAGTACACCTGCCCCACAGAGGACATCTACCTGGAGTAGGGGTGCCGCTGCCCTCTCCTCCCCTGGGCCCCGGGCCAGTGCCAGGACAGCTGGCTGCTGACAGGAGAGGCACTGCTCGCCGAGGACACTCGCTGCCAGAGGATGGGGAAGTGGGGGCCACCGGCCGAGGGGGGTGGGGGTGACGGGGAGAGGCACATGCCGTTTATTGTAATATATGGGATTAGATTCATCTATGAGAAAGCGGGCTGCCCGGGGATTGGGAAGGGGCGGGCTGGTGGGGTGTCAGCCTCTGACCAGGAAGGAACCATCCTGGGGGCAGAGCTATCTGCCCCATCCTGGGCCTCGGGCCCATTCCGCCTGTGGATGCCCACCCCACCCCTCGCCTCCAACTCCCAACCCCAGGGTCCTGAGCTCAGGCTAAGCCCAGCCACCTCCCGAGGACCTGGCAGCAAGGGGGCACAGCGGCTGAAGGCCCTGTCCCTGTCCTCAGCTCTGTCATTCGGGTGACCTCTGGGTGGCTCCTCACACCTGCCTTACCAGCATGCTGGCCCCTGGCAGATGAGGGGCCTCCCTGGGGTGGGAGTGAGCTGTGGGGCCCTTCCCGGCAGGAAAAGGTAGCGTCCCGGCCAGCTGGGGCCTCTGGGCTGCTCCCACCTTGGTCCCATCTCCCTGGCCACAACTATTAAAGTGCCATTTCCTGTCTGGACCGCAGTGGGTGTGTCTGCTTGGAGCCCCTCCCACGCCGAGGTCCTACCCGAGACAGCCTGAGCCTTTGCTGCACAGAAAGCTTTATAAGGGGGTCGCATCACAGCTGTGTGTCGTAGTAATACTCAGCCATGTCTGGCCCATCCCGCTTGCGCTGCTGGGCCTGGGAGAGGAGTGGCCGCGGCCCTCGTGGCCATGGGTGCTTGGGTCGGATCCCATAGTCTAAAGAGAAGAGAGAGGGCGTGGGTGGGAAGGAGAAGCAGGCTCTGAATTTGTGAGACACCCCTGGGAAGATGCTGTTGGGATGAGAAGCCTGTGCCTGGCGCTAGGTGCCCTCCCCTCGGGCTTGTCTCCATCCCCAGGAGGGCCCAGGGTGGTGGGGGTGAGGAGAGGGCGTGAGAGATACTACCGTCCATCAGGCCAGAAAGTGGCTCTGAGAGTTCCAGGGGGGCTGAAAATTCCTCCGGAACAGACTGTTCAGACCTGTGAGAGACATGGGAGTCCTCAGCCGGGGGCCCAAGGACCACCACCCTCTCCCTGAAGAGGGGGGCAGGCCCGACACCCGGCCTCTACTCTGGGGAGAGGAGGGGTGGCGCAGCAGAGCCCTCAACTTTCCAGGCCCCCTAGTCCTGTTGAGCCTCAACCCCGTGTCCCCCAGGGATTACCTCAGTGGCTGAGGACGGAGGATTCCAGCTGCTAGAACCAGGTAGAGAGTGAAGAGGTTCAGCCGGGCCCTGGGGTACAGAGCTCCCAGCATGGTGAGAAGCATCTGCTCAAGTCCCTGAGCCGACTCCTGCCTGCCCCTCCCCCACAGAAGGCCAGAACCTGACTCTTAGGCCGCCTCACAAAGGGCATAGTTCCAGGCTCAGCCACACACCACTCCAGGCTAGGTCAGCGCCTCCTGCTGAGGTTTGTTTTTTGTTTATTCTACTCATGTTGGCCAACAGGTGCCCAACCTCATCTCTCTCTAGCGTCACCCACGTGTTAAGGGCACAGACCTTTGGATCAGATCTCAGCTGCAATGCCGACTGACTCTTGCTAGGTAGACATGTCACCTAGACTGTGCTGCCATTCCCTCAGGTGTGAGTAAGGCACGCGTCATGTGCCCAAGGTCTCGCACACAGCAGGTCCTCGGAAGTCTTGGCCACTGTACCCCAACCTGGCCGCCGCCTCCCCTACCCCCTACTACCTCTCCCTCCAATAGCCCAGACCAGTCGTAGCCCCAGCCCACTCAGATTCCATTAGGGGGATCTCAGGGATTTCCCCATGTCGCTCCCTGAAACTTAGCACAACCTATCTTGCCCAGGGGCTTCAAGACCTGGCTACCCCCAAGCTGGACAGAGGGATTTTAGCGAGGTGGCAAAGCCTGGGACCTGTTACACTAAGTGCAGGCTCCCAGGCAGGACTGATTGGTTCCCTGCAGGATCTCCAGCCCCAAGGACCTGGTGGGTGCTGAGAAATGTCTGCTGAATAAATGTGAGACTTTGCTGGTGACAGTCTCTTCACAGGCCTGAGGCAAGCTACAGGAGCCCTGCATTGTGTGCAGGAGCCCCACTGTTCTAGGAAAGCAGCCCACTGGCTAGGCCTACCCATCTCCATCCCAGGGCCCTTGGCCCCCGCTCTAAGCCCACACTGACTCCACCTGTCTCCGCCTTCCTGGTCCAGACAAACCATCTCCCACAAACCTGCCTTAGCATCCTGGTTTCACCAGACTCTAACTGCAAGCCTGAGTTACTTGCCTCTGAGATGCCCCCCGGCCAGGTCACATTACACCAGAGCCTCCCTGAGCCCCCTGCATTACCTCAACTTCCCCCTGTCCCTCACTGGGGTCTCCTTTAGCAACATTACTGGCCCCACCCTCCACCAGGCGGTTGGGAGAAGAGGTTTGACGCAGGTTCCCTCCTATAGGAAGACCCAATTTCTTGCCTGGTGTGTGATGGCCTGTCCAAGCCTGGCCCTGACCTTCCTCTCCAACCTCATTCCACCTGCTCCATCTTCCTTCTGCCCAGACAACAAGGTGCGCTTCCCACACACCACCACCTCTCCCACGGAAAAAAATGGTGCGTTTTTCCAGTTAAGCAAAGGCCCTCCAAATAGTGCCCCTCCCCCGCTGCCAGTGGGCGCACGCCGGCCCCCACCCCCACCTAAGACTACCTATTTCCAAGGCCCAGCACCCTGTGTGGATTCTTACACCTCCACCATGACCAGTGAGTGTCTGGGGAAGCAGCAGGGAAGTGCCCCACTGTGCTGGACTCACCCGAAGCTGCCATTGCCCCAAGGTTCCGAACCTCCACACCCCAGCCGAGGCCCTGGGTGGGCTTCTCAGCCACGCCAGCAGCAGTACTGGGAGGTCCTTGGGGGGCCTGGGAGGTGAGGCCCAGTGGGCGCTGCTGTAGACTACGCCTTCTCACAGCTCGCTGGTCTCCCGCCAGGCTAGACACTGGCAGGAGACGGCCTGTGCAGAGCAGAACGTGCAGGGCAGGGGCTGAGGGCGAGAAGGCCAGCCTGCAGCCAGCCTGGACTCTTCCCCAGGACCCCACCCCCCGCCTGGCTCTAGGCAGACTCAGCCACCAAGGAACCACTCCTGAGAAAAAGGGGCACAGCTCAGCTTACACCCTCCCCCCACCTCCGCAGCCAGTTTTCTCCCAGAGCCCCTCAGGAGCCACAGCCTCTCAACACCCCCTGGCCTGCCATGCTGGCCTCATGGAGGCTGAGGCCTACAGTCCCTTCCAGTGGGAGAAAGCCTTTACTCTTGGGTTTAGGGTTTGAGGTACCATGGCCCCAAGCACCCCCTCGCCCCCTCCATTCACCAGGCTCCATCCGAGAGGCTGGCAGGCAGTTCCAGGCCCCGCAGAAGGGGCCGCACACAGCTGGGTGGAGTGGCTGCCTGGGCCTGGGTTCAGCCTCGGGACTGGTGAGGCAGCAGTGACTCTCGCAGTTGCCACGGCAGGAGCACTCCATGCTCCGTGAGCCTCATCCCAGCTCTGAGGCTGGGGAGAGGCTGGGTCCCGGTCCCAGTGGAGGTTCCAGTGACGAGGCGCACCTGCAGGGGCTCCATCGCCAGAGGGTGTCATCAGAGGTGGCAGGGGCAGGGGAGCTCTGGCGACCAGGGCTGTGAGCCACTCCTGGCGGGGGAGGAGTGCCAGACACCCTGGCGGTGAGCATGGAGAGGTCACAGGCATGGAAACTGCCACAGTCAGTTTTATTGAGAGGGGCCGCAGGGAACTGAAGGGCCTGACACCCTCTGCCCACAGCAGTGGGGCCTGCTGCCTCGCCCCTCCCCGCACCCCACCCCCAGGCCATCAGTCAACCCCAACTGTAGAAGTAAATTTTCTGCCAGGTGGGCAAGTAATCCATGAGTGGCCCTGCAACGAGAGTGAAAGAGCCAAGCTCAGGGCCGAGAGCGACTCCTCTGGCTCTGCTTGACCCAGGGCTCCCTCAGCTACTGGGCCCCGAGCCAGCTGCCTCTCCAGCCCCCACCCCTGGGGAGGCAGCCCCAGCAGCCATCTCTGTCCCCGTTTGCAGACAGCGGCACTCAGGCCCAGAGAAGCCACAGGCATGTCCAGCTGCAGATGTTGACAGTCCCAGGACAGTGAGGCCGGAAAAAAAGACTGGCCATATCCCCAGGCTGCCTGCCCCCCCACCCCCAAGCTCTCTGGGACAGCTTGGGCCAGGCCCACTCCACTGCACCTCCAGGCCCACCACACACGCAGTATGTGATAGTGGTCATCATGCCCCGGTCCATGCTTACTTGCTACCAGGCCAATGCCTGGGACGTGGTTGGCCAGCAGCTGCAGCAGGAAGAGGATTCTGGCTCTGCAAGGTAATAACAGGAAGCAGGCTAGCGGGGCCTCCCTGGCCACCTGACTGGCGGCACCGCCTCCCAAAAGACCCAAGTGACGGCAACGAGGACAGACACGGCACAGCAGGACACGGGAGCTGGCATGCCCTGGGCCTGCTGCTCCCGGCCAGGCTCTGGAGAGTTTCTGGAGGGCCTGGGAGAGAGGACAGCACCCCACTTTCCACAGCTCCCACACAATGTTCAGAGTAGCTGAGAGCCCAGGAGGGGACAGTCTGAGAAGAGTTTGACTCAGAGGAAGAGGCGAGGATCGAGGCCTGGCTTTGTAAGAGAGTGAGGGCTTCCCACAGACCTGGGCTGAGGTGATAACAAAAGTAGGGGGTGGGGCACTGTGCTCACTGTGCAGCAGGCGCCACTGTGCGCACTAAGTGGCTCGGCCCCTCGCTAGCCTGGGGTAGGTCCTCTGACACCGCATTTCATAGGTGAGCAAATGGCGCGCACAGGGTTCGATGACTGCCCCAAAGACACACACAGAGCAGCCTGGCCCAGAGGCTCCGCTGGTTCTGACAGTAAAAAACAGGAAAGACGACTGTTCTCCAGACCAGCTGGAGCCCCTTGGGACCCCACTCCCTGTCACTGGGGAAACAAGACATTTCTGACAGGCTTCTAGACCCTTCTCAGTCTGGGCCACGGCTCTGAGGGAGCTAGGCCAGCGAGCAGGAGGAAGAGCCAAAGTCTAGGCTGGCAGCCAAGAGCATGTGATCTGTGCAGGCGGCCACATGATGCAGGAGTCACCAGCACGCTGCTCTAGAGCATGGAAGAGGACTTGGCTTTAGCACCTACAAGCTTTCAAATGCTCCTGGAAATAGGAATTACCAGGTAAGTTACTTTCACCAGGATGGTGCAAAATGATATGATATAAAAAACCTGGTAGAGTGGTCCTAGTGTCAAGCGTGATTCCAGTGATGACAATGGACTTTACAGGTGCTTATTCAGGCCCAGACAGAAGGGGGCCTGGGAACCTCCAAGCTGTGTGTACTACACACACGAGGCAGGCCCCCTCCTCAGGTCTCAGAACCACCTCAGCCCCCACTTGCCCCAGTATCTGGCCTCTGTATCTGGCTGAGGCTGGGAGCTCTGGACGTCACGGTGACAGTGGGGCCCGGGGAGAGCAAGGACAGGCCAAGAGCAAACAGGGACGTGGGATGTGGCTCTGCCACCAGCTGCTGTGCGAATGTGTAAACCACCCAATGGCTGTGATTCTCCAGTGCCACCTCCGAGGGGTGGAGATGGTCCAAGCTATTTCCCAGGAAGCTGTGCAACTAGCCGGGGTGGGCGGGAGGCCCGCACCACCACCTTCCCGGTGGCCCTGGCCTCGGGACGGCGCTTGTCAAGAGCTACTTTGCTCCCGCCCACACGGGTTGACAGCTCAGTTCTCAGGGCAGGGCAGGGCTGGCATTAAATAAACGAAGCAGTGACTGCACCTCAGGAATGCACACCCCAGGGGCTTGGTGAACCCAGATGGAGGAGGGAGGACGAGAAGACCTGAACCGAGGTGTGGGGGCAGTGCTTCCCCCCCAAGCCTCACTGAAGATGGGCCTCATCCCTGGTCAGGCCAGCAGGGTCCTTACTCAGAGAAGCGGTCGTAGAACGGGGAGCGCAGCAGGTAGTAGAGCAGCAGGATGGTCCGCCGTCGCAACTCCAGCTGCTCCCTCCGATTCAGGCTCTTCCTGTCGCTCAGGAGACTCAGGCTGAGGGGTAGGTGGAGACACAGTCAGGGCCAGCCCAGGGGAGGTCATGCCTGCAGCACGGTGCCTGTGGAGGGAGTGCAGTCCCCAGCCCACTTACCTGGTCACATCCACAATGCCAGACAGGAGCCAGGGTGCCCACGACCTCTGACCCCAGAGGCCCAGGCTAAGCACTGACGGCCAAGGTGTCAAGGAGATCTCCAACACGTGGCCCACCAGCCTACTGCTGTCCATCCCGCCTGCAGTGCCAGGCCCACGCTAAGGATACAGTGCAGCAGGGGCCGAGCAATATGCAAGGACTCGGCGATGGTCTCCTGCAGTCCCAGCGGGGTAGGGGTGACACTCAGCTCCTCCAGGTGCTGATGCTTCCGTCCCTCCCGCTGCTGGGGGGCTCCCCAGTGCCTTGAATGCAGGGATGGGGCTAAAACACAGGGGGGAGCACTGAGCAAGCCAGGACCAAGCCCAATTGGAGGAGGGAGGCCAAAACTAGGCCCTCAGGCCCAGGCTGTCCCCAACACTGAGGTATTTAGTCCAGTTACACCCACACTTACTATTTTGGAGGGTTCGCACCACTCTGTTAGACCGCTTTCCCACGTATGACTGCTCCCGGCTGCCAGCGCTGTTGTCACCATCTAGCAGGGACAGAGAAAAAGCCTCACCGTCAGAGGGACAGACATCCAGCAGAGCCTGCAAAGAACACATGCTGAGAATGCTCACAGGGTTTGCACTAAGGTAGCAGCTAAGTCCAGGACACCGCAGACAAGATCTGGGGGCGCCTGCCCATCATGGGGCGCATTCTGTAACCCTCCCTGACCCCAGGGAAAGTTCGGCAACATATGTAACAGATGAGCCAGCCAGGACTCCAACTTTGGGCCTCCCTAGTGGTGCAAGGGATTAAGTCTCAGCACTACAAAGCTAGGCAGCACGAGTTCGATCCCCCACCAGGGAGCTGACCCACACGGTGCAGCAGACCTCTCCTGTCTCGTCTGCTGCTTCCTCAGCAGTGTATTTCGATCAGTTGGCTTATTCTGCTCCCCACTCTGTCTCTAGTGAATTCTCCCTCCCCTCACTCCTGGCCTCTGGCCTGCATCCCAGCTCTTATATGCATACATTAGTGAAATAAATCTTTAAAAAAAAAAAAAAAAAGACTCCAATTTCTCAGGGACTGAAGCAGAGGACCAGAGCCCAGAGGGTGCTGTATCTTCTGCCATTTGCTTTCAAAATGAAAAGAACCGCCCCTATCGAGGTCAGGAGCGCAGCCCAGATCCAACAGGTGGTAGGCCCAAAGCCCTGCAGAGCAGACCAGAGCACTGAAGGTGCCCTGCCCCCTGAGGCTCTGGTCCTGGATGGAGAACCAGGCCTGGAGGCGAGAATGCAGGGCTGCCGCTGCTGCTTTGTCCCCTCATCCTTAGGACGTTGTCAGCAAAGGTCTTACGTCCCAATTCTGATACTGTTCCTAATCTTTCTTCTAGGTAAATAGGGTGATGGGAACAAAATGGGTTGATGAGGACAGCTGTACTCCACAAACGAGCAAACTCTATTCATGCCTGCTGGAAACCACAAATTAGTCCCATGCCTCATTTCACTGCAGTGGGGAAGCAGCTTACCCAGGGGCTGGGCCTGGGTCTCCCTGTCCAGCGGGACGATGGGGGGCGAGGTCTGGAGGCCACCCTTGAACCAGATGAGCAGGAACATCCGCAGGACAGCCCTGGATTGGGGGTATGGCAGGGCTGCTGGGGCGGGCTAGCCGGCAGCAGGTCAGAGTGCTTTGCTCAATGCCATCAGCACAGCTGGCTGCAGTTAACCCGCCCAGGGCCTGCCCTCCACAATCCCCACATACTTGGCCAGCTGGATGAGGGCGATGACGAGCCAACGGCCCACTTCGCCCCACACCTTGGCAGCCCCCATCTCCATGAACACCTCCACACACTCCAGCACACTCAGCCATGTCAGCAGCTTCTGCTGGGACAGCGACTGCAAGAACCCCACGCCAAGAGGTCAGGGTTTCCCCTCGTCTCAGGCCCTCTCCGCAGGGGGATCCTCTGACAAGATGCAGACTTTCCCTTTGCAAAGGCTGAGTTTAGACTCCATCACTAAAATTAGGTGACTGGGAAGAGATTCCGCTACGTCTCTGAAGCCAATCTGAGATGGGGACACAAATACCTTAATACGTCACCTAACGAGATGGCTTGAGGTGCAGGTGGATGCAGACCTGTCTCATCCTCCAAGACCATCACATGTGCGGCACGTGTGGGCTGTTCCTATTCCATTCCCAGCCTCTGGGCCTCCCACCCGCAGTTCTGGCAGTTCTTACCACAGGCAGCTTTTTTCGCAGCTCCTTCCTTAGGATGCCGTCATTGAGCAGCACGAGCAGGTTGGAGGCAGAGTACACTGAGGGTAGAATGCAGACCTGAAAGTCTGGCTCTGCAGTCTCCACCCCTCAACTTCTCCCCAGAGCTGCAGGGAATACCTGTCAGCTGTGCTCAGGCTCCCACAGGTTATGTGGAAACCAGCCCACCTCCCCGCCCACTTCCTCACAGCTTCACATTCCCCAATACCGTCTCCAGTGGGCAGGTGCAACAAGAAAAATGATTTGAGCTCAGTGACAAAGTAGCTACTGCCTCCCTGGGGCGGGCGATTATCCAGTGCCCAGAACAGCCATCATGCAGAGTCACAGATGTGCGGTCCCGCAGCCTGGTTTTTGTTTTCTCTGCAGCCAGCCAGCCCCTGAAAATCTGCCAGATTACCCTCCCAGTACTGTCACCTCTGTTCTCAGTGGGCAAACATTACTGAGGCAGTTACAGTCTGGGGATACTGGAACTTGGGAGATCTGGATTTGAATTCTAGTTCTGGAACGCATCAGGGGCTGTTCCCCAACTTCTGAACTTCACTGAACTTCCCCTCCCTTCGCTGGACACTTAGGACAATAAGTGTGCCCACCTCGTATACCGGTAGGGAGATTTAACTGAGCAAAGGCAGGAAAGGCCTCTAGCCCAGCCGCCTGGCCAGTCAAGATCCCCAAATTACCAAGGACATGGAGAGCCCAGGACAGGGATGCTGGACTTTGTCCCACTCAATCTCGGCAGGGGGCGAGCTAACGGGGAGCCCAGAGTCGTGAGGCAGGATGGTCACCCCTCTGGGGAGCACTCCCGGGTTCAGGCCGCCCCGACCCACCCCACAGGGAGGCTCACCCAACTCTGACAGCTCGTGCGAGTCCGCGAAGCGACCTGGGGAGAAGGCATAAAGGAGGCGTCGTGAGCGTCTGCCTCACCCTTCGGCTTCAGGTCCCTGGACATCTCCTCCCTAAGCCCTAGGGGAACCTGGGAGCAACGTCTCAAACACAGCGTTACTACCCTGACTCTGCAGGGAAAGGGGCTAGTGAGGTCAGAAGTCAGAGACCCCAAGGAATGGGTCAAAGGTCAGGGTGGCACCTGCCAGGAGGTAACTGAGGCCCCGCACTGCCGTCTCCAGCTGGGCCGTGGCGGCTGGGTGGCGAGTCACGTACTCCTGGTAGCGGAGACTGAGGAGCCGCAGCTTCTCCATACTGCCCTCAGGACCCACAGACCCACGGACAGACAGTACGCCTGGCTGCGGGCCCTACTTCCTGCGCCCTCCTTCCTGCTTCCTGTCCTAGGCCCGCCTCTCGGTTGCTTAACTTCCGCGGGCTCGAAACCGTGACGTGAAGGGAAGCTGGACCACCCTCCACCCCATCTCTTAAATCACCTCCCACTAGGGTAGCGCATAGCAACTGTGGTTACTCCCGCCCCTCACTTTCCCTTCAGCTCATTGGTTAACACATTCCCCGCCCCCGACCCACCCAATGTGGTATCCAGACCCGGCTCTTCCGCCTTCCGGGTTGGCTCCTCTCGCGCCTGCGCAAGTACAGCTTCAGTGCCGCTCCGGCGGCAGTCGGCATAATCCATCCTAGAGAAGGGACCAGAGACAGGAACGCCAATAGAACGCCGAGAGGCTCGAACGGATGGACCAAATTTGAAAGCGCTGAAAGGTAGCGCGCGAAAAGGAGCCTCCACCAGATTATGGAAGATTTAGGGAGAATCTGAGAGTTCGACTGTGTTTCGGCAGCGCGCATTTAGTCAGTCGCCTCCTCTCCCGACCCACACTGAGGCAGTGCGGCAAAACTAAAGCAGCAAAGAAGTCCAGCCTCCCAGGCTGTCAGAACCGTTAGTGCCCGGGGTTTGGCACCAGCAGACTCATCGACTGCTCACCCCAAGAACACAGCCACCTCCGCAGAGAAAACCCTTGCTCGGGCTTCTGCTCTCTGCCCGGGGTGACCTTGGTCGGGAGTTTCCCTTCCCTGGGCCTCGGGTTTCCCCATCTGTAAAATGGCCTGAGAGCAGACTTGGTCCTTGAGCTCGGGATCTCAAGGCGCTTTTCGGCCCTTGGATGCACCTCACTGTCCCCAGCTGGGCCCTCATAGATGGAAGCGACTCCCTCGAAGGGGCAGCCTCCCTGGAAGGGGCGGGGTCTGGTGCGAGGAGCGCCCGGGCGTGGAGGGAGCCGAGCTCTGGCGGCAGCCGCTGATTGGCTGTGGGGAAGGGGCGGGGCACAGGTGGGGCGGGGCATAGGTGGGGCTGAGCCGCGGGGGACTCGCAGGCAGGTGCACGGTGGCCTGCGAATACTAATACATTATTTGACCTAACCCCTCCCACAAGACGTTTTTTCCTGGTGAGGAAGGCTCTGGCTAAGAACGTCTAGGCAAGATTCGAATCCGGGTGTAGTTGTAGTCTGACCACGGAATCTGGGCGTTTCAAGCAAGCACTTGTAGCTCTTGTTTGAAAGCTGCAGCCTTCCTCGCGCTCCGCCCCCCACCCTCCATCCCCGCCGCTTGTTTGCCTCTGTATCAAGTGGGAGCTAGTGCTGCCCCCACTCAGGCCAAGGAATGAAGACCCAGGAAGATGTGTCCAGGGGCCTCGGGCGGGGCAAAGGTCCTGGTGAAGGCTCCGGGAGATCTCTCATCAGCCTTACTCCAGCCACATCCTGGGTGCTAGGCTCACTCCTCTTGGAAACTGACAGACTGGCATTAACTCATTTTCACAAATGAGGGAATAAAAGGCTCAAGGAAGAGAAAAGACTGAGGGCAGGTCATGCTCCATGGCGTTGGTCACAGTGCAAGTCTCCAAAGCAGTGCCCTTCCTCTGCCCCCCCACAGCCCAAGAGCGGTGACACATGGCAGCCATTTATCATTTATTATTAAGTCAGCTTAGCTACTGGATTTAGACCAGGCTTTAGCTTTAGGTACTCAGCATGGACTTCTTCTGTCCACCGCGCCCCCACCCCCCCGCACCCTACCGCCTTAATGTACTTGCTTCCCAAGCCGCAACAGTGGCCACTTTTCCACCTCTCCCTCTGAGGCTGTGGCAACAATGACTATGGGGTTTCTTTGCACTTCAGGGTTGTTAGTCCTGTGCTTCTGCGGAGGAAAGAGGGGGGTAGAGGACAGAGAGGTGGTCTCCTTGATGGACAGACAGTACATGAAAGGGTGCTGTTCCTCCTCTCTCCCTGCCTTCAGGACTAGGAAGAACACATGAGCCCAGTCAAGCTGGCTGGAGCAGGTGTGCCTAAATTTCCTCTTCAGATCCTGGGCCTGATTAGCTCTCAGAGACAAAGAATGGCGTGTTGGGAAGCAGCTCCTCCCCAGCTGGGTCCCAGCCTACATTTGGTCATCTGGCCAGGCTGGATGGGCCTCTGGGCAGGTTGGATCTAAGCCTCCCTCCTGCAGTTGTCTGAAGCACAAGAGCTAGAATTTCCAACAGATACAAATGAAACCCAGAGAGGGAGCCAGACTGTTCCAAGATCACACAGCAAAGTCCTAGGCAGAGTTGGACCAAACCAAGTTTCAAGCCTAAACCAACACCCTTTTATATGCCCATACCTGTCTATTTCTCCCTCTTTATGCCCAAGAACAACCTTCTGGATGCCCAGCAGGACTCAGTTTCCCCTGAGTGGAATGGTTGAATGAGCCTTCATTGCCAGTGACACGAGAGACCTGCAGACCTAGCCTCTGCTCAAAACTCCCTGGCCAGGCCCTGACTTCATGCCCTACCCACACCCCAACATTAACCCCATATTTAAGTGTGGGGGTTGGGGCCTTCCCTGGTGGCAGAACAGATTAAAGCACACACTATGAAGCTATTCGCAGCCACTGCAGCACGAATTCGATTCCTGGCCAGGGAGCTGACCCACATAGTGTGGCAGACCTCTCCTGACCTGCCTGCTGCTCCTCTCAGCAGTGTGTTTCAGACAGTCTGCCTGTTCTGCTCCCCACTCTGTCACTGGTGAATCCTCTCAGCCTCTTGTACCTCTGGCCTGTACCCCAGTTCTTGTATGCATAAATAAATCTTAAAAAAATGTGGGGGTTAATTGTGGGGTCTTGGAGAACGAAATGGCCCATCCCCACCCAAGCCTATGCTAGAGAAGAGGGTCAGGAGATCTGGAGGCTCAAAACTCCAGACCCTTTGGGTGGTCCCTGAATTCCCCCATCCCTCAATTCCCAGATGTCCAGGGGACCACCATCAGTCTCCATGGAAACACTGCCCCTGACCTTGAAAGGCCCAAAAGCCTACCTGGGAAGACCCCATCTCATCCAGAAAAAGGCCTTCAAGTGGCCACGTGAATCATGGGGGAGAAGATCCTCATTCTCACCCGACTTTGAACACTGGGGATCCAGGACAGGAAAGGAAAGCCAAGGCCCAGTTGGGCGGCTGCCTTCTAGAAGGGAGAGAGGCCATAGACAAGTCAGTGTGGTCAACCTGCCGGAGTGCTTGGAAGATAATAACCAAGGGGTGTGGGAGGAGAGGAGCTGCCTTGGGAGAATTTGCTTTGCAGGCAGAAGGAATATCAAGGTCAAGACCTGGGCTGGAAACCCTTAGGGAGGAGTGAGCAGGAAACTGACCCCGGGCTAGAACCTGGAGAAAGAACTGGAGGGTGTTCCAACAGGCACTTCAAGTCATGGGGTAGAAGAACCCGGTGTCCAGGATTGATGTGAAGGTTAATTAAGCTGAGGCTTGTGCAGCCTCAGCACAGTGTTTTTGTGTTCAGTCAGCCCTGGAAGTTCCAGTTCATGGTCCAGAGAACCCACCACCCCCTCCAGGGAAGGGCCATGCTGGGGCCTGTTGCGGGTACCAGGGTGGTGCGGAGTAAGAGATCGGACTGGGCACGGGTGCCAGCTCCCCAATCTACGCTGGAGTGGGAGATACCGGATCTTGCCCAGACGGTCCAGGGTTCAGGTCTCCAGCGTCAGTGAGGTCACCTGCCAGTTCCCAGCAAGGCGGCGAACTTCACAAGGCTGTTTTTCCAGGGCCTCCGCCAAGCACGTCAGGGCCACCTAGGCAAGGATGACGGGGAAGGGACTGGAGAACCGGGAATAAGGTGGGCGCTCCAGCGGCTTTATGGTTCTCAGGCAGGCTCGGGCCGGCCGCCTCCGGTCAGCGGAGCAGGTGTCTTGCACCCCGCAGGGAGGCATTCCAACACCCTCTCCCTTATTCCAGCCTTCCCTTTTATCCTAGACCCGGGGTCACGGCCCCTCCCCCAAGGGGAAGTTAAGAAGAGGAGGTGGAGCCCCAAAACAGGGAAGGAGGGGGATGGGCTCAGAGCAGGTATCCGAGACCCAGCCTTCCTGGGTGGTTGATCCTTGCCCCCAGGTCATTCTAGGGGCTCCCCGGGGCCCTCCGCGCTGCGGAAAGGGGGGGTCGTCGGATGCTAAGGCAGGCTTCGGGCCAGGCTGCCCGGGGGTCTCCCCGCCCCTTCGAGCTCAGCCAAGCGTAGGTGAAACCTGAACCCAGGTTGGGGGCGGGGCTGGTTCCCGCGGGGACTGGGCTGGCCCGGGCCTCCACCTCCCCTCTCCGCAACCCCCGCCGGCTTCTGGGAGAGCGAGGTCCGGATCCCTGAACACTGGAGCAGGTGAAGTGGCCACCGCGCGCGGGAGAAAGGACCGGGCAGCCGTCGGGCCCCGCTGCCCAAGGCTCACGCTCCTGTGTCCCTCCGGATCCACAGGGTCCGCAATGGAGCCCGCGGGCCGGGGTCGTGCCCCGCCCTGAGCGCCCCCATTGGCGGCCATGCTGCCCCGAGGGCGCCCCCGGGCTCTGGGGGCCGCCGCGTTGCTGCTGTTGCTTCTGGTCGGATTCTTCCTGTTTGGCGGGGATCTGGAGCGTGAGTGCGGCGAGCCGGGAGGCGAAGGTAGGGGTGCCCGGGGTCCTTCTGCGTGCTGACGCCCCGTGTGCTCCCAGACGGGCGGTGGCGGGGGGCTGCTGCCCTCGACGGAGACTCGCCGGCGGACCTCGGGGACCACAACCGCTCCGACTGCGTCCCGCCGCTGCCTCTGCCTCCCAAGTGCGAGGTAGGTGGCGCGGCCCCTGGCGGTGGGAATCTCGGGGGCGCGGTGGCTCCCCGTCGCGCCACCTGGGTACCTGTGGGACATGTAACATCTGGCGTCGCTCTGGCGCTGACCAGCTAGAGCGCCTCCGGTTTGCGACTTAGCTGTTCCGGGCTTCAGTTTCCCAATTTATGAAATGAAGGGGTTGGACTTCTGCTCCCCCTCTCCTTCCCTAGCTCCGGTGCTGGGTGGCCCTAGGCCAGGCCGGCCCACCTTGGTCCTCAAGGTCTAGTGTACGGAGGGGGCTCTGCCGACCTCAGTGTCCCTCCCCAGCTCTTGCATGTGGCCCTGGTGTGTGCGGGACACAACTCCAGCCGAGATGTCATTACCCTGGTGAAATCAATGCTCTTCTACAGGTACAACCAGGTGTCAGAGAGGGAGGGGTGGTGGGGTGTGGGCAACCTCAGAGCCCCAGCTTACCCATCTGTGTCTGGGGCAGTGGCCCCTTCATCCCTTGAAAGAGTGCCGGAATATACTTGGGGGACACAGGGAAGGTGGGGGGAGGAGCACCAAGGGGGTGGAGGGACTTGGGCTTTAGCAGTTGGGGAGGACTGAAGGGCCCCAGGAAGGAGTGGGCTGGGCATGGCTCAGAGAGGGCCAGAGCTCCTCCTGCACTCTTTCCGGCATCCCTTGCTTGTAGGGGTGTCCTGCCCTGGAAACTCTGCAGAAGTTGGGGCGTCCACCTGTGAGCTTCTTGGGGTGGGGCTGACCCCCGTGGCTTCTCTCCTGTCCTCTCCAAGGAAAAACCCCCTGCACCTTCACTTGGTGACTGATGCTGTGGCCAGAAGTATCCTGGAGACGCTCTTCCACACATGGATGGTGCCGGCTCTCGGGATCAGCTTCTACGATGCTGATGAGCTCAAGGCAGGAGCTCTGGCCCTCTCTGAGCCATGCCCAGCCCACTCCTTCCTGGGGCCCTTGAGTCCTCCCCAACTGCTAAAGCCCAAGTCCCTCCACCCCCTTGGTGCTCCTCCCCCCACCTTCCCTGTGTCCCCCAAGTATATTCCGGCTCTCTTTCTCTGCCAGCCTCACGCCCTGTCCTTCCTGTCACAGCCCCAGGTCTCCTGGATTCCCAACAAGCACTACTCCGGTCTCTATGGGTTAATGAAGCTAGTGCTGCCCCGGGTCCTGCCCGCTGACCTGGCCCGTGTCATTGTCCTGGACACAGATGTCACCTTTGCCTCTGACATTGCAGAGCTCTGGGCACTCTTTGCCTACTTTTCTGGTGAGAGGCCTGAGACCCCACCCCAGCCAGCTTCCCTTCCTGGCTCGCCCAACCCAACCCCCGTGGGTTAGCCCTGAGTCAAGGTTCTGGCAGCCTCAGGTGCTCCCACACGCCCTCCTCTCCCAGACAAGCAGGTGATCGGTCTCGTGGAGAATCAGAGTGACTGGTACCTGGGCAACCTCTGGAGGAACCACAGGCCCTGGCCTGCCCTCGGCAGGGGATTTAACACAGGTGGGACAGGAAGGGTGGCCAGAGGTCCTTTGGCCTCAGGGACTGGACAGGGGGCCGATGCTAGAAAGCCCTGGGAGAAGGGGGGTTTGGAAGGAGCACTGGGAGGAGAAACAGGAAACAGTTCTCTCTGGCTGTGCAACCACTGGGTCTCACTGAACCTCACCCAGTAAATGAGGGCGATTTTACCAGCCCTGGGGCTTCCAAGTGAAGAAGATAGCAGCGAAGGCACTCTGTGGGCTGTGGGCCACTTCCCCTTCCCCCAGGAGAATGGATTGTTGACTGAGGTAGTCCCTGCTCAGGTCAGGAACATAGCAGAAACCCCAAACATTCAAAGAGCCCTGCCCCCAGGAACTGGGTCCTCCAGGTGGGCGTCACAGCAGCTCCCTCCCCCCCCCCACCCATAGGTGTGATCCTCCTGTGGCTGGACCGGCTCCGGCAGGCTAGCTGGGAGCAGATGTGGAAGCTGACCGCCACTCGGGAACTCCTCACTCTGCCGGCCACCTCGCTGGCCGACCAGGTCTGGGGGAGCCCGTCGGGGAGGGGGCCACAGGCACGCGGCTGAGGTGTGATGGCTGTCTCTGCCCAGGACATCTTCAATGCTGTCATCAAAGAGCACCCCGGGCTGGTGCGGCCCCTGCCCTGCGTCTGGAACGTGCAGCTGTCGGACCACACGCTGGCCGAGCGCTGCTACTCCGAGGCCTCGGACCTCAAGGTGAGTGAGGGGGCGGGGGCGGCCGAGGATGGGCCTCCTGCTCCCGGCCCCTATCCTCCCAGCAACACCTCCCGCCGCCCAGGTGATCCACTGGAACTCACCGAAGAAGCTGCGTGTGAAGAACAAGCACGTGGAATTCTTCCGCAACCTCCACCTGACCTTCCTGGAGTACGATGGGAACCTGCTGCGGAGAGAGCTCTTTGGGTGCCCCAGCCCACCCCCACCTGGGGCTGAGCAGGTGAGAGGAGCCACTCTCCCTTGCCCTGGGGCGACTTCACCCCACTCTGCTCTGGTGGGACTGGGCCTGGGCCCCGGGTCCTCCTGGCCCAGCGCCCACTCCCCTCCGCACCCTGCAGGTGCAGCGGGCCCTGGCCCGGCTGGACGAGGAGGACATCTGCTTCGAGTTCCGGCAGCAGCAGCTCACTGTGCACCGTGTGCACCTCACCTTCCTACCCCACAGGCCCCTGCCCCCCAGGCCCCACGACGTCACCCTGGTGGCCCAGCTCTCCATGGACCGGTGAGGGTGCTAAGGGAACCCCTGTCCCCCAACCGCCAGCCTGGCACGGGCTGGGACTAGGACCTTCCAGGAGGAGACTTTCACTGGCCAGACGGACGCGCTCTCAGGAGTTCCCGAAGCTGGAGGCTAGATGCCTGGGACTGACGCTCCACAGTGTGGGTCACGGGCACGACTTAAGGCCTGTTTTCTCATCTGGCAAATGAGAACACGCGCACTGGGGGTTGTTGTGGATACGCATGAAGAACAGCTCCGAAAGCCCTTGCAAGGGGCTCAGGAAGCCACTTGCGGGGCTCCCTGCAGCAGCAACCCTCGGGGGGCAGGGCAGCCCTCCCTGGCTGACCGCGCCCCCTCACCCCAGGCTGCAGATGCTGGAGGCCCTGTGCAGGCACTGGCCGGGCCCCATGAGCCTGGCCTTGTACCTGACAGACGCAGAGGCCCAGCAGTTCCTGCGCTTCGTCGAGGCCTCCGTGGTGCTCGCTGCCCGGCAGGATGTGGCCTATCACGTGGTGTACCGTGAGGGCCCCCTCTACCCTGTCAACCGGCTTCGCAACGTGGCCTTGGCCCAGGCCCTCACCCCTTACGTCTTCCTCAGCGACATCGACTTCCTGCCTGCCTACTCCCTCTACGACTACCTCAGGTGGGGCTTGGGGCAGCGGCGGGAACGCGACCTGGCGGTGTGGCTGGGGAGCCCTGTAGCATCTTAGCTGGTGTGTCCCAGCCTGCTGCTTTCTGGGCCTCAGTGCCTCTGTAAAAGGGGGCTGTTCCAGGGCAGGCAGGCCACGCCATTTCTCTGGGCAGCTCTAGGACATCGGGGAGGCTGGGCCTGCTTTCTGTGGGGCGGCAGGCTGAGCGAGACTTGGGGAGCGGGGTCCCCCGGCTGGTAAACGCAAGAGATCACGGGCTCCAGAGCGGCCCCTCTCTCCTCCTCCTCGGGTGCACCCTCCTCAGGGCCTCCATTGAGCAGCTGGAGCTGGGCAGCAGGCGGAAAGCCGCTCTGGTGGTGCCCGCCTTTGAGACCCTGCACTACCGCTTCAGCTTCCCCAGTTCCAAGGCCGAACTGCTGGCCTTGCTGGACGCCGGCGCCCTCTACACCTTCAGGTAGGGGAGGCCACCCCCACCCCACTCTGACCCCCGGCCCGGCCCTCACCGCCCCAGCTCCGACCCAGCCCGACGTGTCCTGCTCCACAGGTACCACGAGTGGCCCCGGGGTCACGCGCCCACCGACTACGCCCGCTGGCGGGAGGCGCAGGCCCCTTACCGCGTGCAGTGGGCAGCCGACTACGAGCCCTACGTGGTGGTGCCCCGTGACTGTCCCCGCTATGACCCCCGCTTTGTGGGCTTTGGCTGGAACAAGGTCGCCCACATCGTGGAGCTGGATGCACAGGTGAGGGGTGCCTGGCTCCCTCAGCTTTGATTAAAACACCTGCAGGTCCAGGGAGCCCAGGAGGCCTCAGTGGGTACCGTGCCCCGGCTCCCCCCCGGCAATGCCCTTCTGTGGAGCTGCGGCATGTACCCCTGGGCTCCTAGGACAGAGGCCGTGCCTGTTCCCCGCCTCCCAGCGTCCATCTTCCCTGGCTCCGGTAGTGACTATTCCCCGGTCTCTGCGCCTCCAGGAATACGAGCTCCTGGTGCTGCCCGAGGCCTTCACCATCCACCTGCCTCACACCCCGAGCCTGGACATCTCCCGCTTCCGCTCCAGCCCCCCCTACCGGGACTGCCTCCAGGCCCTCAAGGACGAATTCCACCAGGACTTGTCCCGCCACTATGGGGCTGCTGCCCTCAAATACCTCACTGCCCTGCAGCCCCGAGGGCCAGCCTGACTGCCCAGGCAGCTCTCCCCTGCCCTCACCTTGGGCTCACACACACCTTGCAGATGCTGGAGCAGCTCTGCTGCCCCCCACCAAGCCCCACCCAGCTACTTAAGTTATTTAAGGTTTCTGTGGGAAGGGCTGTGGTGGAGCAGGGCCGGAGGACCTGGGGGCCTCCCACCTGGACACCTCCCACCTGGACACCTCCCATCGCTGCTGTAGCTAGAGTTCAGCTTTCCTCTGCCCCAGCTGGGTGGGGCTGGTTCACCCATCCGCAGTGCATCTCTCTTTTTCATAATTAAAGTTTGAAAAACTCCTTTTCGTGTTCCTCCTGGCTTGGGGTGTGAGGGTGTCAGTGAGCCCAGGGGCAGGGGCGGGCCGCAAGAAGGTGGGACTGGAGTGTCTTACCCACCCTCCCCTGCCTCAAACCCAACACCATGAGGCTGAGAGACTTTATTTGGCTTTATTTAGTAAAATGTTAAAATAAATAAATACAAATTGATCAGCTGCTCTGTATCCCTCCCACCCCCTTAAAACAAAAACCAAACAAACAAAAACAAAAACTTTTGAAGCACAAAACTCCAAATACAAGTTCTACCAAGACTGAAATCACAAAGGGCGTGGACAAGAGACAGGACTGGGGGCTGGCTGGCCCTTTTCTGCTCGGACGGAGCTCGCCGACCTCCGGCCTGCCCGTCCCGTCCTGCCTGACTGCAGGTTACCCTGGGCTCTGCACCCAGGGACACCGGAGAGGCTGCGATGGGGGGACCTGAGTCCTCGGGAAGGGCCTCGTGGGAGGGGTGTGAAGTGGCATTGGCGAACAGGGCTGTTTCAGAGTTCCAGCCCTGGCTCTGCAGAGGGGTAACTGCCAGCTACCAGCCTCCACGCCCGCAGAAGGGCCAGAGGAACATCAGGGCCATCCCCTCCTTTCTTGGAAAGGCGCTAACACTGAGGGCAGGCTGTCAGAGCAGGAAGGGGTTTCTTGTTTCCTGCCACGGTGCCCAGTGAGGGGCAGAGGGGAGGCCCAGTCATTACACAGCGCAAAGATGCCTCCATTCAGCTGCAGCTAGGGAGTCTGGGAGCCAGGCCTAGAAACGTCCTCCAGCTACCGTCCCTACTAACTGAACAGCTTGTGTTCTCAGGTAAGCCCTTTGGAGACCTAGAAAGACCACAGACTAAAAGGTAGTGGGAAGAAACCACTGAAGAGCATATTGTCGGAGCTGGGAATGAGAGCCCAAGGAGACCCAGATGCCCCAGGAGAGGAAGGATCAGAGATGGCTGAAGAGGAAGGAGGACTGGACACGCAGACTGAGGACAGCTGGGTGCGCGGCCGCTCTGGGCAGGGGCAAGTGCGCCCATTCACACCACCCAGCTGAGCCTGAGCCGTGAAGAAGCAGTGACAGAGTGGCCTGCACGGAGCCCTGGCACTTGGGTGGTGCCAGCTGGAGGCAGCAGAGGCCGTGCTGCAGGGATCGCACAGGTAAGGCCCGCCAAGCCCCGTTCGGGAGGCTGCCCCAAAAGGGTCGCTGTGCCAGGCACTACAGGCAGGCTTGCTCCAGAAGGCCCGATAAGGAAGGAAGGAAGGAAGGAGCAGAGCTCTGAGTGAGCTCAGCGGAGGCGAGACAAGACCCAGCAGGCTCCAGAGAAAAAGGACCTGCGGGCGGCCCTGGCAAGAATGAGGGCAGAGGACAGCAACATGACCTCACTGCCCCCAGGCGCCTGCCTGAGCCGCAGCCCTTCCTAATCCCAGACCAGCAAGGAGGCCTCTGAAGTGACTGCAGAGCCCGCTGGTCTCAGATGCGTCTGTCGGAGGCCAAGTGAGGACATCGGAAAGGAGGAAGAGAAGGTGGAGGCAGCTCAGCGGGGCCGTCAGGAGTGTGTGCTTCAGGTGGTCACTGGCGCCCACTGGCTGGGGGGCACAGAGAGAGGGTCTTGTCTTGCCACAACAGTGAAGGAGAAGGGTTAAAGCCTTCGTAGTAAGCAATGCTCTGGAACTCCAGTCCAGATGTGGGAAGGGGGGAGGGCTGCATCTTGAACTCCACACTAGCCGAGTCCCAGGCAGCGCATGCTTGCGCTTTGGGAAGAAACAGCCCAGCCCAGGCCAGGCCAGACCGTGACGTGCTCACAGCAGCAGGTGGGACGGTCGCCCACTCCTGAGCCTGTCCAAGCCCCTTGAGAATCTACAGGCAGCTCCTTTCTGAGGGAAGGTTTCAGCTAACTGCCCAACTCCAAGTGTGCGGCACTCCTCCCCCACCCCAGCCGGCCCAGACAAGTCAGACGACAGCGCTCTAAGGCAGGGTGCACAGCAGGCTGGGCTCTGCACCTCTGCCAGCTGCCAGCCTGGCGGCTGGCGAGTCCAGGCATCTCGAGCTCAGCTCCGGACTACACTTAGCACCTCGGTTTCTGCATGAGAAAAGGGAGCTCCTCTCTTCCAGGAATGTCACAGCCTGTGCCCTGTGCAGCCGCTCTCAACCTTCCTCCAACAGCTCTGGGAAGATGAACACACAGGGCTGGGGGAAGCCTGGCGCTTTTACCTAAGGGCATCTCGCTGTTGTGCTGGCTTCAGGATCCTCTTGGTCTCTCTGAGCCTAACTGGGTGAGGGAGAAGCCGGTAGGCCCTTTTCTGCTCTTCCCAGGCTCTGGTCATCCTGGGGCATGGTGTGGGCTCAGGAGAGAAGGTACGAGGAGGGGAGGGGCCCTAGGGTGCAGAGCCTCTGCCTGGCTTCTATCAGTCAGATGCACACCACTGGCCAAGGGCTCTTGCATCCCCACAAGGCAAGATGACAGGAATGATCCGAGTCTCTCAGAACCTTGGTTTTCTCAAGAAGGAGAAAGGCTAAGCCGAGGCAAGCGCAGCACTTCTGGCCAAAGGCCCCCCAGGAAGCTTGTGGGGGAACAAGGTAGACTAAATTCCATCTGGTGCCTGGAGCCGGCAGGCAGAGTGCGGACTGGAGAGTCAGACTCTCTCCCAAGGCAAGAAGACACAAAGGCCGCCGGGCTGTCTGTCTGGGAGACACCATGCACCCTCAAGACCTCTCGCTCCTTTGTTCTTTCTAAGCACCAAGGACTGATGCAGCAGCCTGTGCCCTGCACCCTCCCACCAGGGGCGGGCAGGTAGGTGGGCACCTGGCCTCGCCTGTCTCCTTCAGCGTCGTCCCCAGGCGCCCCTAATGCTGGTGGCTGAAAGACCGAGAGCAGCACCAAAGGAAGGGTCTTACTGAGGCACCAGCCTTTTGTTCTAGCAACTTCCGAGGGGACAACAGGGAGGGCCCTGCTACCATCCACGCTCCGCTGGAGCTTCCAGAAGAGGAGCCGAGATCCCTGCACTTAAGAAAAGGGGACATCTCTTCTGAGGAGGCAGAGGGCCGGCTGCCGCGGCGGCGGCGGCCCTCTGCAGGAGAGAAAGCATGGAGACTGGCCCACCAGTCTTGGGACACAGACACAGCAAATCATGGTCAGCAGGTTCTGTGCTGAAAAATTATAACTACACAGCATTTTCTCCAGTTCTGACACCTTTTTAATAGAAATCACTGTTTTTAGGAAACAAATAGCACTTTTGTAATTTTTTTTACAATGTTTCTTACCTTGATCTTAATTTAAGTAACACTAGGAAGACCTCAATATCTTTATTTTCCTTTTTAATTTAAAAAAAAGTTGTTGTTGTTGTTTTCCCCAGATACAAAGATTTTTGCCCTTGCATAAAAAAAGTGCCCCGACGATGACACAAGGACTCACACGTACTCACTGACCTCACTGACACTAGGGTTCCTACTCTACCATGCAAGGTCTCGACTACCCTTAAGTGGACTGTCAGCCTGAAAAACAGCTTTTCTATTCCTTATTTTAGTTTTTGTTACCAAAAAAGTAAAATAAATGACAAAATAAAACTTTTCTTTAAAAAGGAAAAAGAACAAGAACAAAAACGAATTAAAAAAAGAGAAAAGAAACGTCTCCATTCGCTTCACACACACCTGGGTCGCGTGCTGCTTCGCTCAGGACCTTCTCTTCTTATAAATATAGAAAAGGGATGGAGCTTGTTTTCAAGTAAAATCACTGATCCACCTTTCCCTTCCCTGACACCCCCCCTTCTCCCCTGCTCCAGGCCGCAGGGCCTGGCTCTGCTGTTCTGGGGAGGGAAGAGCCGGATCATCCGCGGACGCTCGCCAATTTGCCAAAGCAGGGAAGGAACTTGGGAAGTGGGGCGCCCCCGTGGGGAGTCACATGCTCAGGAGGCGGCTGCTCTGCTGTCCGCTGGCTCGCTGGAGAGCACCAGCGCTCGGCGCCCAGACAACGTGAATACTGCATTTGATGGACTTTCCCACCCTGTTCCCTCCCGTCCCCTCCCCACCCCTCCTCTGGGCACTGGGGTTGGCTAAATCTCGATTTCCGTTTTTGGTTTTATAGTAGTGAAAGTTTAGAAACAGGAAAGCCCACATACTCTTTGGACTTGTCTTTTCTACCTAAACAAACTGCTGGGCAAATAAGGATCTGAAACCTGCTCTCCTCCCTCCGCCCGTCCCTGCTCCCCACCCAACAAACAAAAACAAACCCATCGTGGCTGTGGAGGCTGCTGCAGGCACACACTGGTGTATAATAGAGAGAGTAAATATATTATTTCACTTGGCATGGTGCTGGCAAAGAACCTCCAGCTGGCACTATTTCATGTAACATGGTCCAATCTTTGCATGTACACACAGAATAAGAAGGATCAATTGGCAAGCTCTGGTGCCACCTGGCACAAGCATCTTCTCTCTCTCTGGAACCAAAGAACCAAAAGAATTCTGTACTTTCCAGAAGAAATCCGGCTTTGCTTTTCTAGAGTCTTCAGTGTTCTGCTCTCCTTGCCGCCGGGATCCCGTGGCTTCTCCTAGCGGGGCTGTTATTTAGTCTCTTCCCCCTGGTTACAGTTCGCTGTGCAGCTCTGGGAGGAGGGGGAGGGGGCCGGCGTGGAGGTGGTGGCATTGGCAGGCGGGGTACAGTCCGGGCCATTGGCGATGGCCCCCACCGTGGCCTCAGAGTCTACAGGTTTGGAGAGGTCGATGCCGTGGATGAGGCGGATCAGCTGTTTTACCTTCTCCAGGGAGCTGTGCATCTCCTTCTGCCGGGCCAGGATGGTGTTCTTCATTTCCATGCATTTCTGCAGCAAAGGAGAAGGCGGCAGCACTGAGCCTCCTGCGTTCCTAAGCGGCCTGGCGGTCCTCTCCAAATACAAGGAGCCTGCTGGCTCACGCAGCCCCTGGACCTCCCACCTCACCCCGAGTGGGTGCTGCTCCGTGAGGGAGGGGCCCAAGAGAGGGGAAGTGGGTGGTTTCAAAGTAACTCTACCTGACACTAGGACTTCAAACCGCAAAGTGAAGCCACTCAGAAACAAAGTTCCCACAGCAGTCTGAAGCTGGCTGGGCAGGTAAGCTTCGGCAGGGCTAATGGATGCCAGTGTGCTCAGGGTAGAAAATGAACCAGTGGTTTCTGGTCCCCATCTGAGGGCCTACAGGGGGATCATCAGGCAGCCCACATTTAGAGGTGGGACATACTGGATATTTAGGAGATTCGGACAGCAGCTAACAGTCTGAATCTCTGCCCTTAGCCCCCCCATACTTGCTGGCTTCTGTTCTAGGGTCAGAGATGAGAGATGTGTGTGGCATGGGTAATAATGTGAACAGAAGAAGGTAAGCGGGGGGGGGGGAGTACTCAACTGCCACCGTATTCAAGGCACCTCCTGGTATCTGGGAGGGCACCTCACACCTTTGGGGAACTAGGCAACAGAAGAGAAAGCCGGCTCCTGTGAAGGGAGCCCCTGAATTCCCATCTGCAAATCCAACCCTCTTTCCAACCGAGAGGCCAGGCTGAGCCGCATTCACTTCTAATATTTGTCTCTAGAAAGCCCTCTTCTCAGGCTACTCAGGCAATCTTGGAAATACAATCAGCACACTGTGGAAGAGAGGGCGGAGGAAAGGCCCCGCGGATGGACTCCCCAGAGCTCAGGAGCCTAGAAAGAAACCCACTGAGGACCCGGCCTGCCAGGCCTCAGAAGAGGCCACACGCTCCTCCCAAACCCCAGCCCAGACGGGGAAAGTCCTCAAGTCAAAGCTGAGCGGCCATTCTGGAGCTTGACTCCAACTCTAACTGGAGGCAAAATTTGTATCCTATAAATCAGCTCAAGGACCTGCCTCAGCCCTTGGGGGCTGCAGGTGCTGTTAAGGACATGAAAGGCTCTCTACCCCCGTGTCTGTCCCTGAAGGCAGGAGGGTGACTTACACTTATAGAGTTGCTGAGCTGTTTCACCTTCTGCTCTAGCTGTTCTCGTTCTTGTTTTAAATCTGAACTCCATTTAAGTAACTTCTGTTTCTCTTCTTCTTTTGCTGAAACAAACAAACAAACAAAAAAGCCTGTTTTCCACAAGGAATTCTTTGAAGAGGTCACTTGCCAGAAACGGTATTTTCCCTCAAGTGCCCCGAGCCCCACAGCCAGTGCCCAGAACCTGACAGTGCCCAGGCACTGTCGTGGCCTGCACCTAGCTTCACATGAATTCCATACTATTTTCAATTTTTTTCTGCCCAAGAAAAGTATTACATGAACATTCTACTTAATCAATCAAAAATTTTCATTTTCAAGTGCAAATTTCCTTTTGGGAACAAAATATATACTCTAGCACTATTTTTTTTTTTTTTTTTAACATCAGGGGAGACTTGCTAAATAATAGTTCGAATGAGTTTTTACCTGCTTTGTAGGCGATATAGGAATGAACAATTGCTAAAGTTCCAGGCCAGGGAATTGCTTCTTCTTTCTTGAGCATCTGAAAAGATTTTTAGAAACTGACTTTGAGAGGAGGTGTAAGGGCACACAGCCCCCGCGTAACAACAAGCAGGGTGCCTCCAGCTGCCGCAGTCCATCCAGGGAGGACAGGTGGGGGCAGGCTGCAGCTGCTGGGCTCTGCCTGCCTGGGGAGGGTCATCACAGGAGGAGCCACACCACTCAGCCCCGCCGAGGGACCGGCTGGGCGTGCTGGGCACTGCTGTCAGTTCCTACGTGCAGCGTGACGTGACCCCAGCACTGTGGCTGCCAGGCTCCCCAGCACACAGCTGCCTGCTCAGTTTGAGCTTTCCAAGTCCTCAAAAAAAGCCTGATCGAGGACATGAAACATAAACAGACCCCGTGTAGAAAATTACCAGAAGGTCACAGAGCAGCATCCAAAAAGAGACACTCAAGTTAAACGGGGAAACCTCTCAAATCAGGATTCCAAAGAACTGAGCTGGATGCCAAAGCTTGCTGAGGTACTAGACTTATTATTTTTGTATTTTACCTACTTCTAAAAAATACAGCTTCTAATGAAAACATGACGACATAAAGGTAAACAGATACTTGAGGAAAAGAGATGAGAAACTAAACAGGTAAGGAGGGAAGACTGGTTAATGATGTTTGCCTGTCAAGTCCATGAAATGTTAAGACATGACTTCACAGTTGTCTGATCCCGTGAGAACACAGATTAAAGGTGAAACCATTGTTATTTGAATTAAGTAGTAACTTAAGGATTTTATTTCTAAAGGGCAGTTTCAAAACCATATACAAGGTCTGAACTGTTCTTGGAGAACGAGGCAGTCTTATTTGTCTTTGAGGGGTCAGGCAGTGAGAAGCTACAGGACCAATTAGGGCCTCTTCCCTGGTATGTGACATCACTCTCATGAGTCCGCCAGAGACCCTCTGGGCATGGACACTGCATGGGACAGTGCTGAGCCCTGACCAGGCTGACCAGGGCTATCGGGTGTGGTAAGAACTACAGCGGGGGTAAGAGATTCTGCCCTTACCCCAAGATATAGGGGTGATCCTGACCACACCTTCTCCTCCACCCCTTACCCGACTGACCCTCCCACAGTACCTGGTCCTGACATCTGGGACAGATCCACATGCCCTTAGGAATCGTTTTCAGGGGAGGGTCTAAGCAGTCCAGGTGATACACACGGGAACACGTGTCACACATCAGCAACTGGCCGCTTTTTCTGCATACACTGCAAAAATCCTCATGGATATCACCCTACGAAATTGAAAGGAGAGGTAAGAGAGAGGACAAAAATGGTAAACTTGGAATATTAACATGTACATTCTGGATACACACATATACATGCTTTAGGACAATCAGCTGGGTCCCCTCCGACATATGCTTATTGAAGAAAACTGGGGTATCAGCAATGGAACAAATATACATCTCCTCAACACAGCTCAAGTTTCTCAGGTAAGGACAACATTCTTAATTTAAAGTACATTTTACAGGAAATTCCTGTAGTCACCTTGGCCAAAATTAATGTTATGGATGATAGCTCAGCAATTTTATGTTTTGGTAAAGTCCAACCCCTATTCAGATATCTTAAAAATACTGAAATCCTTTATCAAAGTCTTCCACACTATTATACACACAATTCTCATTATCATTTTGGGGGGCAGTTTAGAAGGACTGGTAAACAGGCAAGAAATGGTGTTTTACTAAACGCCATGCTTGCTCAGGGAGAAAAAAATACATATAGTTAAAGTTCAACCAGGAAAAGATGAAGTCAGGAGCAAATGAACTCCTCTGAGCTTTCTAACATGAAGATTTTAAAAGCCAAAGCAGCAGCTGACAATGTTATCTTAAAATCAGTATTTGGCATTTATTGTTCAATGGGCCTTTCTATTCTGGGAGGCGTCATTCCTCCCCATAAAATACTTCACCAGATGGAAAAAGAAGAGCAGCCCCAGGGCACTCTGCCTGTCCCCCCTCCACCCCACCAGGGGTAAGTCCTGGCACTCGGGTATGCAGGCGGGGCCCTCTGAGCAGAAGGCACCATCAGAAAAAAGCAGATCTGAAACTTGGACAGAACACAGGAAAATAAAGTGAGGTATTAAAGAAGTATTTTCAGCAAGTCAATGCCTAGCGTGTTCTCGAACAGGCTTAATGCCATTGATCAGGGACACAGGGAAGAGAAGACTGAAGGCAAGTGTCAGAAGGTAGCTACCAGGGCAGCACCCACAGTCTGGAGCAGACCCCTTTTCACTTCCAATGTGTTGCTTTAGATTTCTAGACTATTCTGCCAGAAAGTCTAATGCTAAACTTTTCAGAAGAAGCAATGAACAAAGAGCAATGCCTAGCTCTCCCTTTTTATGCCCCTCAACCAGCACCACAGACCTACAATTACGCTCTGAAGGAAAGAAAGTGTTCTCTACAGAATTAGATTCACTAGGGTATCTGACAGTCTTGAAAACCAGCAGCAGAAAGTTTAAGATACATCTGTGTGTGGATGGATGTTAGTCTCTGGGCAGTAGAAAAAGAGTCAATACGTGTGCAAAACAGTGCGTGAGCATTCAGTTTGACTGACTGACCCCCAATAAGCTATGACGTTCTTCTTTCATCCTGAAAATCAAGCTGAGGGAGCTCGTTTCCCTAAAACTGTAGCCCCATGTTGGAACCTGCATCTTTATGAAGTTTACAAATTTCATGGTTTCAAAGACTGCTTTACATGAACCATAGATAAAATTGTCAGTGATGAGGTATAAGCAAGACAAACGAGGCAACATATTTGGAAGAATCTGTTGGGTAAAGAGTTTTGCTCACTTTCTTTTACGTCTGGTTAAGGAGAAGGGAGAGCACACATAAAACCACAGTTAAATCACTTCGAGTTTCTGAAGGAGCAAGTCTTCCTAGCCTGTTGACAGATCCTCTAGCAGCAGTTCTTAATCATTTTTGGTATTTAAAGTCCCCTTTAAACTCTTCAAATTACTAAGGATCTCAAGTGCTTTTGTTTATGTGAGTTTTAGCTATTGAAATTTATTATGTTTTAAGACTTTATTTTGAAATAATTATGGAATCACAAAAATTGTAGATACAGTGTATTAAATACTGACAAACCCCAACATATACAATTAGTCATCAGAGTGATGGCATTATCGTACATCATCTAGTATCGAGAAAACTCCACAGTTTACTCTTGAGAGAATGAGAGTAAGAATGGCAAAAATACTAGGGCCCTCCTTGGTGGTGCAACAGGTGAGGACACAGCACTGCAAGAAGGCCGCGGCGTGTGCGAGTTTGATCCCGGCCCCCGGTGGTGACCCACATGGCGCGGCAGACCTCTCCTGCTTCGCCCGCTGCTCCCCTCAGCAGTATATTTTGTTGATCTGCCTGTTCTGCTCCCTCTCTGTCTCAGGTGAATCCTCTCACTGCCCCTGCACCTCTGGTCTGTACCCCAGTCCTGTATGCATAAATAAATAAACCTTTAAAAAAAATGGCAAAAATACTATTAGTACAGAAAAAGTTCAGACTTTATGTAGCCCAGAAAGTATGTCAGGAATCACACTTTAAGTACTGCCTATAGAAATGAATATAAAATTCCAAGTGGCTAGTCCATCCATACTGAATTAGTCCTTTACTTAGAGCAGAGAAAATGCAGCACCACAGGTCAAGGCTGAGACTTTGATGACTGATCAAGTTATCACCATAAAGCAAATGGTATGTGGAAAGGTGGTTGAAAGATGGTTCTTTGTAGACGATAAAGACATGTACTTCTATTGCAAACACCCAGGCTTTATGAATTATACTTCGTCATTTGCTAAAAAATTGTTTTACAACTATGCCAGTCTATCTTCCCATCTCATGAAAGGGACGATAGTAGCAACAAGGTACAAACTGAGTCTCAGTGTCCGGCTGGGGCCTGTGTCAGCAACCCCTTCTCGATGCTATTGATTCCCAGGAAATGCCTGCCTCTCAGCTGTGATTGTTTAATTAATGTTGTCAGGGCTTATGCCACCCAGCAGCAAACATTCAGAGCCCTGGGTGTTGATTTTAATCACTGCCACTGCTGGGATAGTGCAAAAGTAGAAGTCAATTATCTTTTTAAAAATTCCATTCCACGGGGTTTAACTTAGGAAGTTCTCAATGTGTTTAGTGGTTTAATAAAGCTTTCTTTTATCTTTAGATTTCTGAAAAGAACAATGCTTACATTTTAAGATGAAACCTGGCAGAAGCTTTTAGCTTGTGATTTGATCTAGTGGATTCTTTGGTTCACTCGCTCCAAGATATCCCTAACTCCCTCAGTCAAAAATCACACACACACAAAACAGCAGAGCTGAGGAAAGAGACACACACAGCCCCGGGCGCATGTGTCCCCAGCACTTCTGTGCCGCCCTCGGAGGAGACCCTTACCAAGAAGCCATGAGCCGGCAACTCCTTTGGGAAGGATTCAACTGAGCAATCTTTGCGGCTAGCAAATAAGGTTTCTGATAGGGACTCCTGGTGCTCATTAATGGGACAGGTAGGAAACCTGTAGCAACGACCAGTGCCAAAAGTCAGGAAAGCTAGACAAAAGGCTGACTCTTGAAGGCAAGATCGGGGAGTAGCCGTCGCTACGCCAAGGAAGGAAGCCTGCTGCAGAAGAGAACTCTCCTACGATCTTGGATGACCCTGGCCCTCCAAAGATGACACTTCCTTTGTTGCTTCTGGAACTTTAATTGAGGATATGCAAATACTACCCCTTTGCCCTTTGGAGAGGGTAGGCCATTAGCATGTTCTGAGAACCTTCAAATTCAGGAGACATTTTACCTGAAGATGACCCTAAAGATAAGAAGGGACTTGTACAAATGAAACTAGGTTTCCCTTCTCAAACCTGGTCCTCCTAGGAGTCATCATATGCTTCATTCTTCTAGCTGTCTCTGCCTGAACTTGGGATTCACCCTTGACTATTCTCTTTTTCTCATACCCCACTGCTTAATCCCACTGGCTCTTCAAAGCATATAGATCTGGCCACTTTTCTCCATGTCTACTCTCGCATCTGATTAGGCTAAGTCATCACCGGCTCTTGCATGGACAACAACAGCCTATCCTCTTTATTCCAGACAGAGCAGACAGAGTAATCCTTTTAAAATCCAAGTCAATTTTACAATCACCATAAACAAAGAAAAGTAAGCAAGCACCATTAAAGGATGTTAAAACTACTGGGTAACAGTTTTCTGGGGAGCTAGGTATTGATACAGCATCAAATTTATCTCCATCAGAAGAAACAGGTAGCTCTGCAAGTGAAGAACTCTGACAAGCACTATCGTAAGAGGAGAAAGGTCGCACACCCGAGAGTGGGACAGACTGACATCCCGTGCCTCCTGCTGTGGCATGCCTAGGACTCGTGGTCACTTATTCTGTGGCCTGTCAGGGTGCACCCCCCTCCCCATCTATTTGTGAGGAGAAAGCCAGATCACCCAACAGAAGGGCAACCCACAGAGAGCAATGCACTTTTAAGATGTCAGTGTCATGAAAGACAAAGACAGGCTGGGGGAACTTCAGGAGTAAGGAGACTAAGGACACAATGCCGTGACAGTAAGTATCCAGAATGACCTTGAATTTGATTCTGGGGTATAAAAAAGCTAATTATTGGGACAAAAGGAGAAATCAGATACAGACTGTATGCTATGTAATTTTTTTGGTCAATATTAAATTTCCTCAGTTTAGTAACTGTGTTGTAACCACATCAAAAAGCATCTTTGCTTGTAGGAGATAATACACTTAAGTATTTGGGGTGAACATTCATATGTTTGCAACTTCATTAGTTTAAGAGAAAATATGTGTGTGTGATGGGGAGAAGAAAAATGGTAACAAGTGATAAATCGAGGTGAAGGTCATGTATACATGTATGTGTGTGGGTGTGTTTGTGTATGTTCTCCGTATGATTCTGCAGCTCTTCTACAGATTTGAAGTTTTTCAAAATAGAGTTGAGAAATTGTTATGCCTCAAAACCCTGTAGTGGTTCCCATTTCAGAGGCCACAGGCTCTGCCCTCTGGTCTCACCTCCCCGCACCGACTGCTCGGCACCCCAGGCCCCCCTTCTTGCTGACTTCCGTGCCATCGCACTTCCACCTGGGGGTTCTGCAGTAGCAGCCCCTCTGCATGGATCACTCTTCCCGCCAAGTACTCTGCCCCCTATGAGGGACTCACTCTCTCTGCTCTCACTCACAGAAGAGCAAACCTCCTGCCCCGGCTCCTCACTCCGCCCCACTCTCTTCACTGCACTCACTGCTGTGGCACAGAGCTCGCGTCCACGTGCGCTATCACCTGTCTCTGGCCATGCAGCAGGGATCCTGGAGGGTAGGGTGCTGTTCTGTCCCCGGCTGTGGGCCCAGCCTCAGGAACAATGCGTCTCAGCAGAGCGGGGCTCAGTCTATACTCCTCGAGTGAATTCACTACTTGTAAGTGCTCTTTTAAAACTCAAGGAACTGTTTACAGTCTTGAACTTCTGGCTGAAGGGTTATGACGTAGCCGACACTTTTTTCAGGAATTGGGTCCTGATGAACTCTGCTGAGAAAAGGCGCTTTCAAGGAAAGTTTCCTACTTTTGGAATTCTACTTTAATCAGGATACAAGGACAGGTAGGGAAGATACACTTGTCCTTTCCCCCTACCCTCACAACATGGATGACAGAGTGGAACACCTCTCAATTATATGAGCTGAAGTCCCTATCCCAGCCCTTTCCTGAGAGCTCATTGAGAGCCGAGTAATCCAACCTCTGAAAACTGTCTGAGCCTCCTGATGAATTTAACAAGATTCTCAAGGCCATGGCAGGAGCTGGGGCACCAGCAGAAAGCTGCCTTACACGGCACAGAGTGTCCTGCAGGGATTACCGCTGTTCCAGTGTTAGTCAAGGAAATGCAGCTGGTAAGGAGACAACACATGATAACGGCTCCCCCATCTGAGCTCTCAGAAAGAGAGTGAGCTTTTCCCATGTTACTTACGTCTGTGGAGGTGGGGCTGGGCAGGGACACAGGCTGAACAGGTGCAGGGAAAGTGAATGTGGTCTCTGTCTTTTCATTTTCAGGGGAGTCAGGATGACTGGATGGGGGGGATGTTGGGGTAAGGGCTCCAAACCCCAGCACTGCATTGTATTTTGGAGGACGACCTATATACCAAGAGAAGGGAACAAAAGGGGAAAAGGGGGGAGGGAAAGAAAGGGGGAAAAATGATCTTACATACCTTTGGCCAGTGTTCCTCATTGGCTAGCGTGGAAAAGGAAGTGAGGTAGCAGACAGAAGGTTAATACCACAGTCCCAAAGAGAGAGAGAGAAGCACAGATTTAAATGTCATTAGAAACAACTGCATGAGTCTTAAAAGTGGGGCGAGTGAGCGCGTCTTGGAGAATGACAGGAGGTGCAGGTTCATGTCAAAGGGCCTTGCCTTGGGCACTGTGGTGACTTTCCTGAGCTATTACGGTTTGAGATTCCTAATGTGCGTACCAAGATGTCAAAGCTCAATGGGAGCAAGGCCAGGAATAAGATTTTACTTTCCATGTATCTTGCAAATTGTTCTCTAAGATCTCTCTGCAACTATCATTCTGACAATAATGTTAATGATTCCTGGCTTCCACAAATCCTATTTTCAGGATTCTGTTTTTCGCTTTTTCTCCTATCTACATTTTAGTCATTTCATTGCTGGTGAGGGTAGAGAGACCAAGTGAGGAGGCAAAATCATGTTAAGTACTCTTACTTCTTGCTGGAGGAGCTTGTGAGAGCTAAAAGATGTGGGCTTAACCATGAGTTACTGCTTGCGAATTGTCTCCCCACGGCACATCACGAGCATTTGGTGAGCCACGTGTCTAAGAACAGAGCTGCTCTGAAGTCTCAGGAAAGGCCCTGTTGTCTGCAGCTCCCCTGACCTGAAAATCTGCCTCAAATGAGAGCATTCGAACCCCATCTCACGGCACGGAGGGTCTACCCATGAGCACGAGTGGGTGTGGGCCGTCCAGGGCAGCTGCTCGTCTTCCACTCAGCTAACTTAGGGTTCACGTTCCCTAAGGGCCAGGGTCACAGCTTCTGCACTGTCAGTGATCAGGGCATACTGAACACAGGGTAAAGGAGAGAGCCAGAGAGGTACACTGCAGCCTGCAGGCCCTGGGAGACAGAGCACAGGATCGTGGCTTTGCCAGCAGCCGTCGTTTATATTAGAATCGTGCGGAGAGTCACGATTCTGTCAGACGCTACCTATCTGTGTTAAACCAGCAACGTCTGCAGCACGAAGACATATGTACTGGTTTGCCTTTTCTAGGGAATTTAGTGCTGCTAAAAGGGGAAATAGAAGAGGAATGCTCTTTGTTTACTCAGAAAGGCACATCTTAAGCATTGTGAATTCAAGGCTTTCATCCTCTGACCTTGGCAAGAGCAGGCAAGGTCTTTCTGGCTCGTTTAACCCCTTTCCTCTTAGCAGACACAGGCCACCAGCAAGCCTGCTGACCGCTGCTTCTGGCTGGGGCTCCTTTATAAAAACTGTCAGAGGCCACTAAAAATTGCCAAAAACAAAACAACAGAAAATAACCCATGACACTAGTTACTTGTGAAGACTTGGTATGGAGCAAAGACTTAGGGTTCCCATGGAAATATTTCTGACTACCTGAAGGATGGGGCTGGTGAAACATTTAGCTGGGTCACTAAGGGAAGATGCACTCTCTCCTTCTGTGGGGAGGAGGTGGTCACGATGGAGCCCGAGCCCAGCTTAGCAGACATAAGGTCAGGACGACCTCCTGAGCGGAATGTGTGTGCGTACGCAAGAATTAGTATGCTACTCCACTCACTCTGCAACCTTTCTAGCCTGGAACTATAATTCAGGGACACATTACCATGTGGAGAAAGGGACCTTGGGATGTATTACTGACATCAAAGAACAATTTCAGAACCTTGTTTATGAGCTCAAACTCTGAGCTATTAAGACCTATTTAGACCCCACTAGTGAGAGCTGCTGCTGAGGCTGCTGCTGCCTGCACCCCACCCTGCCTAGGGTTAAGGTGGCCCACCAATCCCCAAGGGGTAGGGGTGGGGGTGGGGGGGGTGTGGTGGGGGAGAAGTAGAGGGAAGGAGCTGTAGGGATTTTGGCTACAGGGAGTCTGTTTTGATAGTGACCTTTTCATCCCCACATGGGGCTGTCCTCTTCTTACAGGTGCTCAGTCCTAGGTGTGGGTGCCTGTCTCTGGCCCTGAAAGTCTGCAGGAACTTAATCATGCTCTTGTCTTGCTGGCAGCCAGAACACTGAGATACCACCAAGAGCACCTTGGCAACAGCAACGCCCTGTTCTGCTTACTGGTGCTAAAATACTTCCTTTCACATGGTCTCCTGTTCACTGTTATTCATGGGTATTCTCCCTGCTGGGCCTGGGGCAGAAATGCTGCCTTAAGACATTCTCTGAGTCAGCTTTGCCAGAATCCCAGTAAGGGCAGCTTTTCTGTCTATAGAACTGTAATAAGAAATTGTACCCCTTTTCTCCCCCATTCTCAGGGAACAATAACAACACAACTATTTCCAAGGGGTACAGGAGTTAGATGGGCTCTAAGACAATGGAAGAAGGGAGGGGGAAGAAACACAACACAGAAAGCAAAAGCAACAGCAAGGGAGAGAAACAAAAAGATATTCACCTCTCTTCCGGGTCCCGGGATGCATTGTACTGTTCAGGTATGTGACTGCACTCTTCTTACGCTTTGAGGATTGAAAAAGGAAAGGTGGCGAGTTGAACTGTATGGCCACTACTACGAACGGAACAAGACACAAGCTCAAACACAGCCTGTCAAGATGCCCACTAGTCAGTGCTCGTCACCAAGGTCTTGGTACTATATTACACTCACTAGGCGCTGAGAGAATATTCCAGAAAGGTCTCCCTTTCCTTCAGATGACATTTGTGTTGAAGCCACAATAAGTTACATTTTTAGGTCAGGAGTGTATCTGCTCAGACTCAGGGCAAACAAAGCAAAACAAAAGCTAAGGGGAAGGTAGTGAATAATAAAAATAAAATAATGTGGTCAGAGAAAAACCCATCATTTCCCCACGCTGGTCAAATACACTCAGGTGCCGAAAAAAAAGGAAACTGAGAGTGGTGGCCACGTCGGGCCAGGAATACCTCTGGCTCAAAGACTGCTCCGCTGTAGACAGGATTTGCCGTTGTCCTTCTTTTTCGCTCTTGCCTCTTGCTCTGGATTTCTTGGGAAAGCGAAAGGTGTGGATTAGAAATACAGAAAACCTAACATGCATAATTAACTGCCTTGTTTTATCTGCTGGTCTTCCCATGATAAATTAGAAACAGGGCCAAAACTCTTGGTTTCACTGCAGCCTCAGCAGAGAAAAGCTTACTGCTGGGAGCAACTGAGGAATTAGATACTCTGCCCTCTCCCAAAGCAAGAGCACACTGTTCCACAGGATGAGGGAGAATTTGACGGGTTCAAGGTGTTCAGATTTATTTTTAGATGCCTGTGATATAGCTGTTAATGAACTTTACCCACAGACCTTGGGTTGAGTAACCACAGGTTCACTATACTTGAAGTAAGTAATCAGTACAGGTACAGCTTTGTAATTTAAGATTTTGATAAACTGGAAATGATTGAAAAATACAAGGACTTGTAAAAGGGGAATTTTCTACTTTGTGCTAAAGGAGAAAAAAAAAAAAAGATACTCCCCTCCCTTCAGGCTCCCACTTAAAATTAGTTAGGCAAGTGGGGGGCTTTCCCAGGATAGTAGTGAGGATACAGAAAGACAGGATGGGGAGGGGTGGAACATTACAAAGAGGGGATGGCAACTTTTATTCTCAAGGAATTAGAGTCCATATTGATTAAATCACACTCCATTTATATCTAATTTTCCATTCTAGCCATATATGAAACATCATGCGTAAGAACAAAGTTCTAGACCAGAAGCAAGGTGGGGCCGTTAATGTCTTCTCTTACCTTCTAGATGGTCATGTGTTACCAACCCTAGAGACACCATGAAGGCAAGTTTCTGTGCCAGAGAAACAAAGAAGAACACAATTCAGTCTGGGTTTTCACAAAGCCAATTGCATGCTCTTAGACAGACACCCAGGCAAACAGGCTAGCAGGCCAGCCACCCGCAGGAGGCTGATTTCAGGTGAACAAGCAGTGGGCACCTGCCACTCCGAGCAGCCATGGAGCCACTCTGGAGGCTTCCAGGGACCAAGATGAAGGATTGGTGCCTGCATCTCCTTTTTCATCGACAGGTATCAGTCTCCTCAGTGACTTTTTTTTTTTTTTTTACAGAAAGATCCTCTTAGAAGATTTCCATTCAAAAAATATGCAGAGGGCTACAAAGAGCTTCCCACACAACAAAGTCCATATTCTAGCTACTTGTCACTGACTAGCTGCCTCTGTCAGGAGAGATCAGGGTTTCTTACATTTTACTATGGAAAATGCCAAGTGTACCTTAAAAGCAACAGCTGATGGGTCTGCTTAATGCTAGGTGCAATCAAACATGCAACAAAACTTGGAGAGACACTGCTCCTCAGAACACTCCCCTAAAGCTCGAGTGATTAGAATACCGTACTTCGAGCTAGAGATAGCAACAGTGTGATTCCTGTTTTGTTCTTTGGCTATATGTGGTCTGCTGTATCACTTTATGTGGTCACTAAATACGCCACAGATGACATCATTACTTTCTCTGATGGTAAAGAACATCATCAATAGTTAGAGGAGACATATTCCTGCAGAATTATTTATATCACAATTTGGTCTTTAAAAATTCTGACATTCCCCCCCCCCCAAATTAAATATCAAGACATTTTGGCCTGAAGTGATAAGTTCAGGCTAGTCAAAATATCGAGTGTTTTATGAAGATACAGTCCTTGAGCAAACCACTTGAGAACACAGAAATGTGCCTTAGTGGTGTCTTCAGTCCTAAAGAAATGTGCTTGTTTAATTTCTTACTTCAAAGGTCGTGGGCACCTAGCTCCCTGACAGCCAGACACCGCAGGAAAGCAGCCTCACCCGCTCCCACTGTGCTGAATGGCAGGTTGCGTAGCTGCTATCAGTTTCATCCCTCATTCTCGCTAGTAAAACTTCCTCAAGATTAGCAGGCTGCCTGCCCACTGCTGTCTGATAATACAGTAGTGTGGAAGCTGACATTCAGATGCACCTTGCTTTAATCAAGTAACAACACCTTTCTTGTCTATAAATTTCATCTTTGTGGGCCTTCCCTGGTGGCGCAGCGGGTTAAAGCACTGCACTAAGAAGCTAAAGCCATTTCCGCATGAGTTCGATCCCTGCCTGCCCCGGAGGTGACCACATGGCGAGCCAGACCTCTCCTGACCCGCCCGCTGCTCCCCTCAGCAGTGTACTTTGTCGATCTGTCTGTTCTGCTCCCCGCTCTGTCTCTGGTGAAGCCTCTCACCCTCTGAATCTCTGGCCTGTACCCCAGTTCTGTATAAATAATCTTTAAAAAAAAAATTTCATCTTTGTGGTCTAGGTCAAATTCACAAAAGAATTATATTAAGGAAAAAAGACCCTCTCGAGATGTTCTCATTAAAAAGAACAAAAAGTTGTCAAGAACTTTTGCCTAGTCTACGAACCACATGCATGTCAAGGGCTAATGTGTTCTCTTTACAGATTAAAGTGATTCTAGCTAGAAAGTGAAGTATTGGTTGTTACACAAGAAGGTACTTGCTTGCCTCTCACTGTGCCACTGACCTAAAATATCCTCAGTTTCTCTTGATAATGAAATTTTGCAATAGCTTATCTAGTTTTCCTCTTCTAAGCATCATACTTATCATCAATTTTGTAGATGATTTTAGGTTTCTCTGTGATTTTCAGGACTAGTCCTTCTTTTTGGTTTGGCCCTTCTTTAAAGATAAATTAAAAATTAATTTACTTCATAGAAGAAAGAATTTTAATTTTTAGAAAAACCTGAATTGACTTACTAAATCTGCATTAAAAAAATGACAGGAAGCTTTGATGGCTCGTGCCACAATTTAACATGGTTTCATTTCAAAGAACGCACCGAGGGAAGAAGGAAATGTATTTCTGGACTAATAAAATCCCGCTATCAGATACTCGTCATCATATTACCTCTCCACATTTTTCTTTTATAGCCGCTTGTGCAAACACATCAAACTAAAAAATTCTCTCGTCTTAAGGACATACAAATTTACATTCTATATTTGTACAGACTTGCTTTGCTATTTATGTTTATAATTCGATCATAAATTGTAGTATAGATGTTACTATTTTCATCCCTAGATGTTACTATTTTTATCCTTACTTTTATGCCTTAATGAAATACTCTGAACTACTGATTTGTTTGGGATTGGGGCTCTAATGCAATACAATGGTAATAACAAAAATGCATTGTTAACAACTGTAATCGATAACTTAAACACATTAGCTGAGTGAACTGCGCACCTCATGAACGCTGGCTTAGACAAAACATTAATGATCATCAGGAATGAAACAGCATACAAGGAAAATAGCCATTAATCTTACATTTCAAATGTGTAGCATGTGTATGAAATGCCTATTGGTCAGCTAATGGGTGCTCTAGGCCACACTGCAACCTAAGAATAACATTACTGAAGAGTGAACAAGAGCAAGAAAAGGAAAATCAGAGACTCAGCAGAGCGTACACACTCCCCTGTAGTGAGGACAAACACCACAGCACAGACTGAGCCGTCTTTGGGGGGGCAGGCCTACCTGGGGGTTCTCCTCCCGTTTTGGTTTGGGTGCAGCAGGTGGAGTGATGGTGCGACTCTCTGTTTGTTTCTCCTCTGTTTCTGTGTGGGATTTAATTGTCTAGGAGAGGAAATTAAATAAAAATTCAGAATTCATTTTTTATTAAAAGAATGAAAACAAACAGTAGTTTAACCATAGCCAAGACGGAAAAAATAATATACTCAAAGTGGAAACATTAATAAATAATTTAATATAATGGATTTCACTTTAGAAGAGGGAAAAGTAGTGCAAACCCCAGTTGCAGTGATCAAATTGTGTAGCTAGGACAGATATGAATCTATACAGATAAGTCTAAATTACACAAAAGGAAAAATTCCATGGCTTAATTCCTATGCTAAAAATATAGCTGCACTCTCTGATTTCAATGTTAGGATATAGGAATAGTTTTCTAGAAACAAACCCACTCTTGTCATACTAGGGTCACCCTCCAGTCCATAACATGCTCAAGATCCAAGTCGTGTCCAAAAAATCTTATATACACACTCTTCTATTTCAGATAATTTCAATCATAATCAGAGAGGTTACAGAACTACCTACCCTCTTGGGATATTTAAAACCTGCCTGTATCACACATTAGAGATGCAATTGCCAAGAAAAGGTCATTTTGCAAGAGGCTGACATCCTGATTACCCCTAACCGCCTCTTCCAGATGCATCCATTTCAAACAAAAGAAACCCCAGTAGCATTACCACCTTCGAACACAAATGGCAGTGAGCAAGTTGGTAGACTGACCTTGCATTGCTATTCTTATCACAACCCAATGGCTAACTCATTTTATGAAGCCCTCTGTAAATACGGAAGTGGTATTAGAACAGTGGATAGAAAACTGTAAACACAAACCTAATTTACTTTTTCAAAATTAAAAAAATGTGATGCTAACAGTCTTTTTTGTATGACAACAACAAGTAATTAAATGAATGAGAAACTGCCTGATTACCGATGAGCAAAAGTCAAATTAAAGACTTCGGTCCTACCAGCAGGACACCAAAAATTCTCAAAAACCATTATGCTGTAAAATATTTTACTGGACCTGTAAAACTAATACAACTCAAAGATCTTTCATTTTCTTTCCTGACCACTTATATTTTTCCTTCTACTCTTTATATTTTTACTTTAGCAACGTGTGAGCAACTCCCTTATCAATACTGTTAACAATGTCTGTTCTGGGGTACAAATGTTGGATTGTCCTGTCCCTATTTCCCCCTTTATATTAAGTCACTTGAAAGCAGGGACTGTTTTCACACCTTTGCACGCTTTATGCCAAGTACAGTGGCTTCGGTAAAGCAGGTTTGCAAGAGTTGCTGATCTCCTGATAAGGAGTATGACCTATAAGAACAATGACTCACATCTTCCTTCTCTCTCACCCCTTTTTATCTGGAAGGACCTATGTCTTCCATAAAAGACCTACAGGGAGACAACAGGAAAGTACTCCACAGTGACATTTGCAAGGTCCTGGGCACCCAGCTTATTTTCATAGCCCTCTGAATGTGGGAGTACGCCAGTCTGAGGGAGGAGAGAGGAGAGAAGGTCATCCGTAATGGTTTGCTGCTCCATTTCAAGGCTGTGTGGAGTTCCTTGGAGTCTCTCAGTCCATCTCCAAGGCTGAGTACAGCAGGGAGTGGCAATGTCTCTGGGGAAGAGCAAAACAATTCTCACCACTTAAGGAATTACCCAGAGTTCAAATTTTCTTGCTTAGGCAAGAGGAGTACATAATGTAAGGGTTAGATAAAAAGTACTGAAAGCACCCCAAAAATGAAGCCAACAAAACATTAGGGGCATCTTTTGCTCATGGGTCTCTTATGTGAGGGAATGGCGATAGCCATGCTGTGAACAGCACTCTGGTACTCAACAGCTGGGAGAAAGCAAAGATGGCTCATGACTGCACCCCAGCTGATTAGCGGGGTTGCGAACTTTGAGGGACCCTGTGAGGGACCCTGAATCAGAACCAATCAGTTAAAACTGCAATCAGTTAAAACCAATCAGGAACCTATTCTTGATCCTCAGAGAGACTGTAGGTTAATCAATGTTGTTTTAAGCTGCTTAAAACAAACAAAAAAATAGAGTAGGGGAGCAACATCCCAAACACGACAGTAGGGAGCTCTGAGAATCAGTACTTCCACTGAAGAAACCATTAAACTGGCAAAAGCAGAATCAACTTTTTAGAACTCTAGTACCTAATAAAAAATGTATAGCAACCAGGGGAGCACTTACTGAATAAAGAGGTTACTAAATTTCAGTAAGAAAGCATTTCTCCTTACCTACCTACAAACCCCCATACCCTAGCTGGACAGAGCCTGAGGGGATGGTGACCTGCCTTCTTGGTACAGCCTGCTGGAGCGGGGGGAGCAAAATGAACCTTGTTTTCAGAAACTTGTGGCCACGCATTTTGACCTCTGGTAGCTCCCTGAGAACTGGAATAGAGACCCACCCTCGCTGGGACCACCTTAGGTTGGCATGGATTTCCAGGTGGTATCTGACAAGTATGCTACCTACCCCTGGTCGTCTGGCACCCCGAGTCACCAGCTCATAGTGGCTGAAGTACATGACAGACACTCAAAAGCCTGGGAAGGAGGTTGCTGAGCAGGAAGATTCTTGGAGGAGTAAGAACTTTCAAGGGCCATGTACCGGGAACCCAGAGTACCTGTCTCATCACGGGGCTAAGGGCATCCTCACACATGACCTGACAAGAGCCCTGAGCCTGCACCTACAGCAGTCGGAGAGGACAGGTGAAGACTAAAGCCAAGGTCTAAGTGACCTAGCTTAGTGCTGAAGTATTTGCACTGCTCAGAGCCAACTGTAAATAGTGAGCAAATTTTTGTTGTTGTTTTTTAAAGTTTCTTATTTACTTCATTTTGCTTCAGTTGTTTAAGGAAATCCATCCCATCACTAGCTGACAACTGAAAAAAAGAAATTCTAGTGATCATACGTAACAGACTTAACGAAAAGAGTTTGGGAAAGACACTAAGCAGGGCAGCACAATCCTTATCACAGCAGCAGACCCCCAGGGTGGGAGGGGAATCTAATTTCTAGAGTTATCGTATTGTAATTTTAAAACGAACTGTTTCAAACATGAACTAAAAGGCATTCAAAGAAATAGGAAAGTCTGACCCACTTGTAGGGAAAAACAAAAGAAACGCACAGAAACTGGCTCTATAGAAGCCTTGAGGAAGACTAAGACAACTGTCTTAAATACACGCTAAAAGCTAAAGGGAAGAGTGAACAGAAAATTAAAGAAACCAGGCATTTAATGTCTGACCAGAAAATATCAATAGAGAGAAATTATATATTTTTAAAAGAACCACATTAGAAATTCAAGCTGAAAAGAACATTAGCTAAAATGGAAAGTTCACTAGAAGGGTTCAAGCCAAAAGCAAGCAGAAAATGAACAGAGGCATCGGGCCTGAGGGGCTCCACCAATGTACTGACATGCACACTCTGGACTCCTGGAGGAAAAGGAGAGATGACAGCTGAGAAGTCCCCAAATTTGATTAAAATCACAAAGCCATACACTGAAGAAACTCAGCAACCTCAAAATAAGATAGTCTGACAGTGAGCCACACTGTCAAAATCCAAAGTCAAAGGGAGGATCTTAAAAACAGCAAGGAAGAAGTGATAGAGCATAAAGAAGAGGTCCTCACTTTCCAAAACCAGAGAGCAGAAGGCAGTGGGTTGACTCATTCAAAGCGCAGAAGAAAAAAAACAAACTATTAACCAAGAATTCTATCAGCTACCAAAAGTAGTACTGCTAAAGCGAGTCCCCTTCAGACTGAAATAAAGACTTTAGGTGGTAACTTAAAACCATACAAAAATAATTCCAGTGTAGGTAACCACATAATATAAAGTGGGGTATTACTGTATCTTCGATTTGTAACTTCTTCTGCTTCTATATAATTTCAAAGAGAAACCCCCACCACAGAAAGCAGGTACTCAAACAAATGCAGTGCCATGAATATCCATAGCAACACTACTCCTAATAGTGAATAGGTGGAAAAAAACCCTAACACACATCAATGAATGAATACATTGTGGTACACAGAAATATGGAGTGTTAATGTCATTTAAAAGGAATGAAGTACTGCCATGTTGCAATGTGAATCTTGAAAACACTGTGCTAAACGAAACAATTCAGACACAAGGCCACGTAATACAGGATTCCATTTATATGAAATATCCAGAACAGGAAAATCTAGAGACAGAAAGCAAACTGAGGATTGCTAGAGGCAGAGAGAAGAGTAAATGGGAAATACTTCATGGGGACTGAAGGTCTGAGGTTGGGGTAATAAAAATGTTTTAGAACTAGACAGATGGTAGTTACACAACACCGAATGTACTGACTGACTACCACAGAATTTTCAGCAATTAACGATACAGTTAAATGTATGTGATGTAAATTTCACTTCAATTAAAAAATTAATCTGGAAACAGAAAAATGAATTAAGCTAAAAGCTTGATTTCTTTCAGAGAGGTAAAGAGGCTTCTCTGAAGGACTCTTTTGGGAGAGGTCTGTGTGGTGTTTGAACTGTTACTAGTTTTTAAAAACTAAGTGATCTGTTTTTCTGGCTTTTGGGGGGTAACTGTTTCCATATTATAAAAACTGATCACTATGTAATGTAAAGTAGCTTCTTCCTTAAGATGGAGTCTCTTGCAGATGGAGTCTGTTGTCTTCTCGACACTAAGACCAAATGCCACCTTTATTGTGGCATTCTTGTCTTACTATTTCAAAGAGGAATTGAGAATAAAAGTGGGTATCTCTTGTAATCATGCTACCACTTATTTACCCCTAATCTGTTTTACCTTTTATATTTCCTGCTCCACACCCATATCTATTTGAATTTGTAACTTCTATTCTTTTTGGTATTATAAAGACAGAAATCAAAGGCCAGAGAAGATAAGAACCAAATTAACTATTCATAACCTAATCCAAATTCACGTTCTGAGACTTGGCTACATTAACAATGAAAGTTAGGCACTTTCAAAGAATTAACTGTCCAAATAGTTTTATTAATAACAGTTAAATAAATTTAAAATGAAGTTAAAGAAAAAAATCATTGTTTGGTGACTTGGGTCTATTTTCTCTGCTGCAGCACCAGTCCTACGACAGAGGGCATAGAATTGCTAGCTCCTGTTCACTAGGAGATAAGACTGGGATCTGTGAATAAGAAGTTCATCTTGTTTTAGAGGACATTGTATAGGTTCCTATGGCGATGTGACAGCTACTTTCCCACAGAACCTTGGGAACATCCATGGAAGTCCCTGTTGCAGGGGTGGGGTGGGGTAAATGAGAAATGATCATCACTTCCCAGAACCAGCTGCTTCAGGCATAGTCTGAGAGCTGGAAAGGACAAGGGTGTAAAAAGGGGGTGTTGTGGGACTGTAGTGTGTGTCTGGTTTTATCTACTTTTCTAACTTAAATATGTCTCTAGCCTCTTTAAACTTGATCACTTGTTTTATTTGAACCATGATGTAATATGGCTTTTAATAAGCAAGTAAAATGGGATCTACCTCTTATCTGGAGTGGATAAGGAAAATGGTGATGTCTGATGGAAGAGGAAAAGTGAGACCCCTGTTGTGGTAACTGATGTGGCCTGCTCCCTTTCCTGTGCCAATGGGAAGCCTTGGAACCACACAACTCGGAGGCAAAGCCTCAGTTCCCACTGCTAGTGCTCCGAGACTAGGGTTCAGGCTTGGGTTAGCCCCTGTGTGGCCAGACACTGCATACAGCACAGCAGTGGCACTTAACCAACACATTTTTATTAAATGATCGCTGCCACCCTAAAGGAAATAGTGAGATGGAGAAAGGAGTCATCTAGCGTAGTCACATAGCGAATATACTAGACAGAGGGTCTGATGGCCCTGAGCAGGCTGTAAGTGGGACGGTCTTGGCTTCACCCACCCCGACATCTCCCCACAGCTATACATGTGATATTACGGTAAATCATAAAGGAAAAAGGAGGACAGTGGGAGGCTGTGAGGTAAGAATTATGAGGAAGGAGTCCAGCCGAAGGAGAGCCCCTACTGATGGAGCCTGGTTACCTGTGCGACTCAGCAAGGTGGTCTGCGACACTAAGAGAGCGATGATGGGACTCGCCTATTAGGTCAACAAGAGGAGGGAGCACGGGATTTACTACTACAGGAGGTTTTTTTTTTAATTTTTAAGACATCAGGATATCTTTTTGTGATATTACAGTTAAAACAAAAAGTTCTATCAATAGGTAAGGCTGTACATGAAAAGAGAATTACTCAAGATCTAATAAAAAGTTGCGAAACAGTCTGATTTTGTCTTTGCTTTAAAAATATGTTAGCATATGCACAGAAAATATGTGGAGGAATAGAAACCATTCATAATGACTTATGGAGCAAAATTTTGGTGAAATTATGGGAAACATTTACTCTACATTTATTGGATTGTCATTAAAGTCATGACACATTTTTTTCTGTTTTTCAAGCAAAAATAGATCATGATTTTTCTGACAACCCACTACATATACACATATGTACTTTCTACAATATCTATTTCTGTAATGTTTGCATTTTTTTACAATGAACATGAATTACAACTTTGTAAACAGAACAGAAAATGTAAAAATAAAACTAAAAACACTCTTGCTTCTTAAAAATCTTTTAAAAAGGTCAAAGGAAAATAATAATTAGTAATCTAATAGCGTTTTGAAGTCTACATGCTTTAGAACAGGAAGGTTTCTCAGAGCCAGCCTAGGACATGAGTATTTCCAAATGTGCCCCCACTCAAGCTAAGCTTGAACATTTTATTTTCAAAAGCTTTAAATTCTGCTAACAGGATGTCTGAAAACTTCTCATTTAAAATATGTGTAAGTATTTCTGAATATTTTCCAAAGCATTTCCTGGGGGGTTGAGCAAGTGAGCAAGCTCCCCAGGAACAGAGATGTATGCTCTGAGCATAAGATTCTGATACCCAGCTTTTCAAGTACAAGGCCTGCTGCCTTTATGAGCTGCCCGGGTAGGAAGCACTCTGTGCATAAGGCCCCTCTGTTCACGAAGGCCACCGCGGCAGGAAGCTGCCTCGCGCTCCGCCATCTGGCCAGCCCTCTGAATCATGGTCACCCTTCCAGAAGCATAAGATTCAGAATCACCAGAGACTATTTTCAGATGAATGAGGACTTAAGCCTGAACAATCAGAAATAGGTCAATGACTTTATGAAATAACTTTCTTGAAAGAAGATGCTTTCTTTGTAAAATTCTTCTCCATCACTGTCTTTCTTTAAATAGAATATCATGACCACCTAAAAATCCTTTTTTTTTTTGCTTTTAGAAGTCTTTCTGTCATAGGACCATTAAGTATTTTTTGAGGTTACCTATATTTCTCTAGCTACGTTTTTTCTTTTTCAAAGAAAAAAACCTGGTTTTAGAAATAGAAATGAAGGGTTGCAATGTTTGAGCTAAAATGTCTGACTCTTTTGAGACTTAAAGGAATGTTTTTAGATATTTTAAGTTTTTCATTTGGCTCTTCATTATCTTTAATAACCAGGGAAAATCTTTGCAATTAAATCCCTTTATTGTATTTTTTTTTTCTGACTTTCATAGTCATACCCTCATCTGCATTCTTAGTGGGCCAAAACTAAAATGGCATTTTCTGTTTACTAGTTCATCTGTGCTTCCTGATTGGGGGCAGCTCATCTGTGAATTTCTGCTTCAAAACCAGCAGGGGGAGCTCACTCACACAGAAATCTAAATCTGTGGTGGGAAAAGCAACTCAACTTTCTTCAGTAAGAATGGCCCTTTAGCATTGTGAATAAAGTTATCACATAATAAGCAACAGGTTGTCAACAATGTTGCTGAGATAAAGAGCTCCTGAGGAAATGTGATTGGAGGCAGCGGGGACTAAATGACAAGGCTACTACTGCCCAAAGCAGGTGCATACTCTGCATGTACCTGTTTTTCAAGACTTGGCTTGCTAAGCTGTACGGTTTGAGGTCCAGCGAGTCTGGTCCCTGGAGTAGCTATCACAATGCTGGTGAGCTGGGCCATGGGAAACGTTTTGGCTATGGTTGCAGTCTGCCCATTGACAACACGGACTGGGTGGATGGAATTCTGGGAAGTAGGGAGGGTCGTGGGGGTGAACTTGGTCAGCATGACGGGTCTCTGGATAAGTTGAGGAGCTGCAAGCATGGGAGGAGGTGCTGGGGCAATAGGAATGTTATTCTGGGCCACAGGCTTGGGTCGAACCTATGGGGAAAGAGAGAACAATTATTGCATACTTAAAGAAACTTCTCAAGACGTTAAGTCTAAGACATTGCCAGATGTTTCGCACTATGTATGTGAAAAGATATTTAGTACATATCTTATTAATATTCACTTTGGCAATATTCTGCAAGTCACAGATATATAATCTTAGGTAAGACTCATCAGCTCATAAGAGATTCCAAATGCTACACAAGAACATTTTTTTTCTGATTCCAAACCACAGTTCCTTCTTCTGTACCATACAACCTTTTCAGGCTGAGGTCAAAGGCCTGATCTGGACACTGATCCCATCTGGAATACGTGCCCAGTAGGGTATTAATGTTACCTCTTGGCCATAATTCACACACTAAATTTCTCTATCTCCACAGTTTCGGTTCACTCCTATTTCTGGTCCTCTAATTCTCCATTCTGATCATTACTCTCTCAAGTCTCTTTTATGGGTTTTCTCTTCCAACACCCAATCCTAAATGTAATATTTCTCAGAATTTTGTTTTGCAGCCCCTTCCTCCCCAGTGTTCTCATTCTTCCTGGGCCCTCACCTGCCCCTTGACCTCAGTTACCATCTGTGCAACGGAGACTCTCACACTTCTATTTCAGGGATGACTATCACCTGAACTTCAGAGTCGTATATTCAAATGTCTATAGACATCTCTACTTGGAAACATACAAAAAGTTCAAAATCAACATGTCTACAACACATTAATTTCTTACTCTAATCCACTTTCCCTCTTCTAATTCCCATGTGTTTCTTAAATCTGTCTACTGTGAATCCTCACTGCCACTACTCTGGCTTCTATCTAGCTCACAGATACAGCAGTGACTGAAAACTGTGTTTAAAACTGAAAACTGTGGTTAAAACCATGGGATCAGTCTGGCCTGGATTCGAATTCTGGTTCAAACATTTACTAAGTGTGTAACCTCAGGCAACAGATCTGATCTCTAAGTCAGTATTTTTCAAAGTTTCTCAATTGAAACCCTGTGGGTAAAATCCTTTCCTCTTATTCATTCATGAATGTCTGATCTTCAATGAGTTCTCTAGCTCTGTTCTGAAAACCTGATCAGAGTAAGAATGTCAGCTATGTCACCAGACAACGTTACTTATGGTAAAAAAAAGCTTTCTTACTGGTCTATCATATCTGGATGGGGAATAATTAAAAATAGTTGATGGGATATCTTGCCTTGGGCTTCATGAAGTAGGGTGATTCTTGTAACTGGGGATATCCTTGTGACAACCTTGAAACCAATGCCCACAGAACTGTTACAAGATACATTAGCTTCTCTAAGGCTTAAGGCTTCTAGGCCATCATGACCTGACATATTTTGGCACCTCCACTATCCTGTCAGCTGTAGAGACTGGTATATGGGACTACTAAAGGGGCTTCCACTGAAGAAAAATGTCTGATGCTCTCTCTTGCTGGCAAGCTCTGGTTTCCATCCTGCACTGTTCTAATAGACTGGCAATGAGTATGGTGTGCTGAGAGTCTGAATGTTTAGCTAAACTTAAGGAGACTCTGTGGGGGGGCTGCAGATACAGAGTAGGAATACATTTTACACTGTAACCACTACATACATACCAAACTGTATCTATAGCTCTACAAAACAAACATTCATGCAACAATACTTATTTACTATGTGTCTAAAATTTCCTTTTCTGCTTTGCTCTTTTTAATTAAAAACTAGTTACAATCACTTAATTGATTTCACAGCCTACTAATGGTTCATGACCCATTGTTTGAAAAACATGGACTAAGTTTTAAGAGTCCTTATGTGCAAGACAGTAATACCCACTTTCACAGGGTTTTGATGAGGATTAAAATAACCCATGTGAAGTGCCTAGCACCAACATATAACAAGATCTAAATGTTAGCTATTAATACTTCGGACAGTGTCCCAACAATTCCTCCTGTCCAGTCCTGACTTCTCTAATCTATTCTCCACATAGTGACAAGAAAGAATTTTTAAAACAAAAATCTGAGCATGCCAAATGCTTGTTTGAAAATGTTTTAATGGATCCCCACTGTTCCTGGAATAAGGTCCTAATTCCTAATATAGCCCACAAGGTCCCACAGTTCTGGCCTGAGTGAGCTTCCAGCCAACTTTTATTCTGGCTTGAGCTGGCCACATGGCCCCTGTGCTCAGAAACATCAAGTTCCTCTTGGTAATTTAAGGTTCCATGTAGCAATCCATCCTGAACTTGCATGTATACTCTGCCCTCTACCTGGGGCATTTTCATTCTTACCCCTGAAATGTCAAGCTACCTTTACTAGGATTTCAGATCTCAGAAACTTTTTGTGGGTGCCCTCCCACCTTTTCTGACTACTCTAGACTTCTCATCATGGACACTGTAACTGCATGTGCCTGTGTCTGAAGCTCTCTGAGGGCAGAGCACTATCCGTCCTGAAAATCGGTAACATCTATAGTCCTTAGTGTCTTTTTGGATACTCAGGATATTTATTAGGGATTTATCTGAAAAATGGTTGAAATCACCTGGTCTCACATTAGCACTGTCTGTCTCCTCCGCAGAGGCAACTAAGAAGTCATGGCCAATGACCACAAAATCCCTTCTCTTTTCCCTTTGCCTGAAAACCTAGGACTTCAGATAGAAACTCCTAAGATTTCTACCAAGAAAGGTTGAGATTTTCTCAAGGTCCAGACTGGGCAACTCTGGCACAGGCCATCAGAATGGTGAGTTCGGTCTAACTGCTAGTAAGAACCTACTCAGGACAACCTGAGCAAGCAGCGCGGGGTCCCTGTACAGCACACTAGTCTAAGTCTTCACAAACAAGGCTTTGTGCTCAACCTGATGCTCAGTGCCATCACTTCCCCACAGTGAACGCAATGGTCTCTACTGGGTTAGTTGGGGTACTGCTGCCTTCCTCCTATTCTCTTCAGCATACAGGGAAGAAATAAAAAAGTACAAACTGCATTCCATTCTCACTGGCCAGCCCATATGATTAATTTCTTCTAGTAAGTTAACATTAAAAGGCTTAAAATGGTGTCATCTTTATTGTTTTAGATTTGAGAATGTTTACTTTTCCTCATACCCCTGCCACTGTCTCTAGTCATTGCTAGAAACACAACAATGAAATAAGTCTCTTCATGGTATATTAATTAGCAGACAAAATCTTTAGCTAAGTGGGACCTGAGTACAGCTGAGCTGACAAGTACATTACAAAGGCTGCTTAGAAGAGCCCACTAGAGGACCCCTACCCATCGCTGTGCTTGGCACTGGTTCACTCACCTGTGGAAGAAAGTTTGGACGTGGAGTGAGTCTAGGAGGGGGGATAAATTGTGGTACTTTGATGGGCTGAGGAGGGGTTGCCTGAACCTGCTAAAAAAAAAATGAGAAAGATGAATAAACCAGAGAGGCCAATAACCGTTCAATATCAAAGCTAGGCATTTTTTTTAAGCTAGGCATTCTTTAAAGTATTTTCAGCATCACTATTCCCTGGACAGGACAATATTCTTCAGACAATATCTTCTATGAGCCTTCATTGTATAATTAACATTGCCTTAAAAATGTATTTTATTCTCCCACTTGCATGCTTTATTTGACAAAATAAACCAACTACGTTTGTGCCCTTAGATACCTAATGTAAAAGAGCAAGCTCAGCAATCTTGGACAATTTCCTCTGACACTCACGAACTCTTGTGTTTATGTATTTTCAAAGTCAAGACTAGATCCGAAGTAAAAATCAAATGTGCTGCCTGGACAAATGAGCTTTAGAGCATTATCTAATGGTGAAGGGCATTATTCCTATGAAGAACTGTCTAACTCTCAGCTTTGGGCAAAATTATCCGGTTACTTCTTTAAAGGTTCCTTGGAAAGTGGTGAAGCTTTACTTCACTGCTTTCTAGTTTCACTGGTCATCAGTCAGAAGCCACCAAGAGCTATTAAGTTGCCATTTTAAGAAGGGATTTTTAAACCACAATTTGGATATATTTCCCTCAAGTTTCTGAAAGCATCAGTTTCTAAAGGTTTTACCCTGGACATCTCATGAACAATTTTTGTTCAAATACTTCTTTTCTTCAAAGGGTGTTTTTTCTTATTGACGTTGGATATCAGAATTGTTAAATCTGCGAGTTTCTTGAATATTTTTAAAGTGCCCCAACTAACCCCAGAACTTCCTGGGTACAATTAATTTAGAACTAAAAAGAATTCGGCAGGGAGTTTCCCCCAAATCAATAGTACAGTGCCAGAGTGTGGAAGTGTTCACATGTCACAGGATGGACTGTGGGGAGGATAGAGGGAGAGATACGTGAAGTGGTATGTGTGCCTCTGGGGAAGACATTTTCCCCGCTATAGTCAAGTCCTACTTAGATCTCAGAGAATGTGCTAAGTAAGCTTTGGTCCTAGGTGTCAGGATACCTGTACAACTATTTGAGCAGACGGTAGGAATCACCAAATTCCTCTGTCAACTCCATAAAGGGAGTGTGGAATGGTAGAAGAGTGATGGAGATTGAAAAATCCAGCAGGAGCACAAAATGGATATACTCTGCATGTCCTGACCCCGCTCATGTCCTGACCCTGCTCATGTGGGCACATGTCCTGACCCCGCTCATGTGGGCACACATGAGTAGCAGCTGCTGGCTTACCAGAGTGACTGTGTTTTTTGCCACAATTTGGACAGCCTCTGCCCCAGGTCCAGTGACCTTACTAGACGTCTGGAGGTTGACTGGTGTGTTCTGCACATCAGTGCTGAGCACAGCCTTCTGACTGTTGATGGCGGTCACCATAGCAATGGTAGGTCTCTGGCCCACAACAGAGGCAGGCATGGTCGCAGTTGCTGCTTTCAAGACGAGAGGTAGTGTCTTTGTGGTAATCATAGAAGCTGTAGTTACAGTCTTCTAGGAGACATGGAGAACAGATATTAGGATATTGAATTGTGATTCCACTAAACAATATGCTGCTAAACCCAGAGGAAAACAAAGCAACAATCTCATAATCAATCAAACAAGTCAGTATAACAACATTTCTGTTCTGACATGGAGCACACTTCTTGCAAGGAAAGACAGTATCTGATTTGCCAGAATTCTCAAATTTAGCTTCAAGTGCACAGGAATAACTGCAAACTAATATGGGTACGGGGCTTTCAATAATGAATGTGGTTGCTTACAGATGCAAAATGTGAGTATAACTTTTCCCACAGAGTTCTCTAATTCTTTGCACACTCTCAATTAACTTTGCAGAAGTTGGAAATCAGTGAGGTACACTCCATCTCTAGCCTTAATTGCTACAACTTCTTCAATATGAAGAAAACCATTATACAATTCTGGTCAAACGCCAGCTATGAATAAATGCTAGGATAAAAGGACAGTGTCTTTTTATTTGTTTGAGTGTCACCCTGGGGAGGGGAAGGGAAAACCATATGAGGATCAACACAACTGTTACCTCAGAGTCAGTAAATTCCAAACTCCAAATAATAAAACCTGTTCACCAGCTAGTTTTGTAAATATCATGTCTGGAAACCAACAGAATGCAAGTCACTACCTACAACCTTTTCTCCAGAGAACTGCTGCAGAAGTGACCAAAGATCCAAAGAGATGTGACAAGGGGGAAACAAACTGAGATTCAAGATGCCTGACAAGCAGAGGGTGAACGGGGAGGGAACTTGAGTGATGCCCTGTGAGTGCTGTGCAGCCACAGAGTTGTATTTTTCCAGACTTTTTTTATTAGGGTAATTAAGGAAGTCATTTTAAAAACAAGCAAATATAAACAGCTTTATTACATGACAAACACATCTATCTAGTGTGACTAGTCATTCAAGATACAGTTATTTCAAGAATATGAAATTTTACTGGATCCAACTTGGTTCTAATTTTGACACTACTCCACCTTTTCCTTCTTACTCTATACCTGGCACTGTCCAATTTATAACCACTAGCCACATGAGGCTATTTAAATTTAATAAAAATAAAATACAATTCAAACTTCAATTCCTCAGTCATCTGAGCCAGATCTCAAGTGCTCAACAGCCAGGTGGCAGCGAAGATTCCTAACACTGCAGGAGAGCTGCCGGACAGCTTTCCCGCTTTCTCACAGGTCGGTGAGAAGTGCTGACTCTCCCTGGAATGTCTGTGCATGTTCCCTTGTGAACAGCTACTTCAGTTGTCGATGTAATGTTGTTCAGTTCTGAGTAACCCTTTATTTCTGCCTTAAACACATACACACATGTATATATTACCTTTTTAAATATCTTTTTAACCAAAAATTAAATGATCTAGTCTCACCTATTTCTAATCAGCAATACTTATTTATGCTTATAATTAAAGATTACCCAAATTTTTGTTTCCTTTTATCTAAGTCAACAACACAGGAATGGTTTATTCTCTTAGTGAAATAGCAATATTTATTTTGGAGGATAGCAGGTCATGTACTTTCTATGAATATAAATGATAAATAAAAGCTAAATGCTACTCATCATCAGAAGTGTTACAGTGGTGTAGCCAGAAGGACGGATTTTAGGTTATTAGTTATCTGTAATAATTGTTTGTAACTCAGTGTGTTAATTACCTCTACCTTTCAATTTTAAACATTTAAATACAGGGAACTTTTGAAGTGGTGGGCAAGTCACACCACATGGCGTTCGACCCTGGTGCTGTCCATTACAGTTGTGGAAGTGAAGCTCCAGGCAGCAGAACTCTGACATGGGTTTAAAAACAGCCACTCATGTTGTTCAAAGAGGTCAATGCACTTCTGTTTGAAACACCCTTGGTTCAGGCAAATCATTATCAATATTTTGAATTTACCTAGACTGATTATTTTTTTAAAAGATTTATTTATTTATGCATACAGAACTGGGGTACAGGCTAGAGGTGTGGTGGGTGAGAGGATTCACCCCAGACAGAGTGGGGAGTAGAATAGGCAGATCGACAAAGTACACTGCTGAGGGAAGCAGCAGGTGGGTCGGGAGAGGTCTACGGCGCCATGTGGGTCACCTCTGGAGCAGGGATCTAACTCATGCTGAAAGACTTTAGCTTCTTAGTGCTGTGCTTTAACCCAATGCACCACCAGGGTGGGCACCCCGCCCCCCCCCCCTCGAGTGATTAAGTGAATAAAACCTCAAACTCACCTGGATCATATACTTACCATTAACTCCAACACTGAAAATACTGAAACCTAACAAGTTTGTTCTCCTCTTAGGTTAACATTCTACTTTATATTGAGTGGTGGCTAATTTTACCATACGTAGCATTTCCGTAATTCTTTTTGGGGAATATAATGACTATTTATGGACTCTGGGTATTGATGGTTATTGCTTAGATCTTCTCCTGGTGCTTATTCTAGTTTACAAGAACTAGGGAGCTATCCTAAAATGTGGGAGCACAAACCAAACTCTTAGAGTTTCGATGACAAAGAGAATCTAGAATTTTGGAATCTAATAAAAATCTCTTAATTGTTCCAGTAAGAGGAAGAGAAAACAGAGGGAGGGTGTCAATACAATAAAGAAAATTACGGGTATGGAAGCTGATATGATCACCTTCAAAAGAGGACTATAGTCTCCCCACAGTTTCATGAGGAGTTTAATTTTGACAAAACTCAAACTACATGAACTAGAAGTTAATGCAGAAATGTATAGCAAGAAACTTTAGTAGCAAAATCCTTTCAATTTAGCTTTTCATTGAATTATTGTCGTTTACCTGCAAAGCACAAGGTATTGATTGAAAATAGACAGATGCCAACATGCAAACTAATAGCTAGAGGAATTAACCGCCACACTTTATTTTAGAGTATTTTCTTTAACTTCAAATAGGTCATCACTGATATACAATCAAACCACAAATAGAGCTCCTCCCTTTTATGTCCACAAGGGTTTATATTCTGTCTGTTTTTCTTAACCGCATGAGTTACATGCGGTTAAGGATGTAGGATGGTAGATATACGGTGAAGGGTATATCTGCAGTCACCTGTTCTAGTCTTCATTTTTTTTCTTCTGAAAAAAAATTTCAAAATATACATACAATCATGAATTGAGGTTAACTAAGGGAACTGCATTGATATATGCTGATTTCTCAATTTAGAATTAAAAGCTCTCCGAGCATCTCCTCCCTGCCTACTCTGGTTGCAATAGTTATTCCTTCTGAATTTAGATATTTAATATATGTCAGATACAATCTCCATTGTCCTTGACCTAATGAACTTTTAATGACTCCATGACAACTAAAACCCCTAAAGTTCTGTCATATGTTGGCGAGCTTCCACAAACTTCCTACCTTCTGGCTTTACCTGTGTGCCTATCATTTTTTTCTGGAACCTACACACCAGCTCCATCAGCCTATTTGTTATTCCCAGAGCAGGCCTACTTTTTTGACTCCATTAATTTTGCTCTTACAGCTCTCTACACCTGTGATGCTCTCCCCACTCTGCGCCATTACTGAAATCTCACTTCTGTCAAGACCCTGCTCAAAGACTAGCTCCTTTATGATGCATGCTCTGATCCCTCTGCTCAAAATTCCTGTTCTTTAGTATTTCCACAGCTCTTTACTGACACTCTTTCACTTTACTCTTCTTTGTTTGATAAACATATCTTCTGCTCCTCTACATTTTAACAATTCTTGGAGGGAAATTTTTCCTTAATTCATATAATTATTTGAAAATCTAATCCTCTACTGACTAGCACAGTGTTTATACATAGTAGAAACTCAAATATTTAAAGACTGAGTGACAATAAGTGTCATAATATACCAGATTCTGGTATACTTCTTTGTATCCTGGCATACAATGAATATACCAGAATCTCGTACCCCATAAATACTGACTGACTTTACTGTTAGAACAAAAACCAATGTTAGGGATATTTTTAGCTTTTAATCCTGGACATCAGCATTAAGAAGAACAAAAAAATACCAAATGAGCTTAGCTAAACCAATTAAATATGTCAGGGAGTGATGAGAGATTCCACACAACATTGCTTTGGGGAGCACCCCAGGCATGTGGGCCTCACCCTCCACAGCACCCTGTTATCAGAGAATGGCCTGGGTATTCTAAGTATTATATAAGTGTTTTCTCTGGGTTGTGTAATCTGGACAGAAAGTTTTCATGAGTTAAGAGAGAAAACAGTTACTGGGAAACAATGGATACTACCACACACCCTCCCTGTAAAAACTCTGATCAAACTGTACTTTGGAAAGAGAACAATCTAATCTAACACTGCTTAAGACTCCAAAAATGTTAATTTGGTAAATCAGAATTTTTGAGAAGAAATACAAGTCCTGGAAGGGGATTTGATGAGTCGGTTTGAATGCATAATTTCCAAAATATACTTGTGGTAGAGATCAGGGTAAAAACTATACAGACTGCTGTAGCCAGAAGACTCACAACAGGGGTTTTCCTTTTTCCTTCTTGCTACCTATCTGATTTTACTTAATTAACTTGATCTCTCTGGGCCTTAGTTTTTTTTTTTTTTTTTAAGATTTATTTATTATACAAGAGTTGGGGTACAAGCCAGAGGTACAGGGGGGTGAGCTGAGTCACCAGAGACAGAGTAGGGGGCAGAACAGGCAGATCAACCGAAATACACTGCTGAGGGGAGCAGTGGGTGAGACAGGAGAGGTCTGCCACACTGTGTGGGTCACTTCCCTGGCTGGGCTGGGGATCAGACTCGTGCTGCAGTGGCTGCAGACAGCTTCACGGTGCTGTCCTTTAACCTGCTGCACCACCAGGGAGGGCTCCTGGGCCTTAGTTTTCTTTTCTAAAAAACTGAGATGATGATGATATGTATTTTTCTTACAGGGTTGGGGTGAGGATTATGTATGTTATTATGTAAAACATTCAGGGTTATACTGGTATACAGTAACTTCATTAAATGCCAACTATCTGTACTATTTTTATAAACAATGAATTCACCTGCTAAATATTACATATTAACCGGCCCAATGTCCATAAGCAGTGAATGACCAAGCAAGCTACATAATCTTTTCCTCTACATATAAACATATGATGAAAAACTGGCATTGGTGGATGAGAGGTATACAAGCTTACATTTCAGAAAATCCCTAAGTCCTTAAAATTATGTGCAAAAATTGGCATATTAAACATGAATGCTTTTTTTTCTGGGAAAGGATCCACAGCTTTCCAAGAGATTTAAAGGTATCACCTCAAAAGTGTCAAAAATTATTGCTTTCTCATATTGTCCTATTTTAAAAGGTATACCCATCTTATATATATAAGTACATGGAGGTCATCAAGATGGAAACTTAGCTGCATGTCAATTCCAAAGTAATTCTTTCTTGTGTATCCTGATTGTCTCAACATGCTCACATTATACGCTAATTTAAATGCCCTTCTCAATAGAAACATTTGCACAGCTACACAAAGTTAGAATGTTATTAAAACTTCCTTGGTTCTAATTTTGACATGTAGCTTTCATTTCTGATTTCTTTCAGTATGTCAGAATAGAGTCATATTCTCATGTGCCACATACTTAGAAATCAATTGTTTTTCTGAATGATGGGAAAGCATGTATTGCCTTTCTAAGTGCTGCCTTCTACCTGGTCCCACAGGCATTGGTCCTGGAATATCTCCACCCCTAATTCCTAAGAATTTCAGAAAAACAATTCCAGAAGAGAGCTAACCCAACATTTTTAGAACAAATGTAAACAAATACCTCTAGAAATTAAAAATAAGACTTCAATTCTGGTCTAATGTAGAGAAGCAATTTTTCTTTGTCACTGACTCCTTCGTTTGGACAGGTGGGAAATCACTGAGCTCTTTACTTCTTAGTAAATGTCATTTTCCTCTGCTAATGAATTTCAAGTGATAAAGCTCCAATTATATATAATAATAGAGTAACCAAAATAACTTTTGTTTAGTGGTAGTTGAGTTTAGTATAGTCTGAAAGAAGACCCAGTTCTGCATGACCAATTAACAATTCAATTTACAACACGAAGCCTGCAGTCCTCCGCTCCCACTTTTACCTGTGAAGCGGTCAGGTTGGGAGAAGGTGCAGCCGACTGGGCGTGGTGGTGGTGATACTGCTGTTGTTGCTGTAGCTGCTGCAGTGGTTGCTGCTGTGCTGCTTGTAGTTTGTTTTCAGACTGTGGCAATGGCTGTATTTGGAACTTGTCTGGCTGTTCCTGCTTTACTATCAGGTTTTTCCGGAGCTGTTCAACCACTCTTTTCTACAAAGGAAGACATAAAGAAGTAAAGTCTATCAGCTTATTCTTCATATCAGCTGTACAGAAATTTGCAGCAATTCTATGCCTCTGCTCTCTTTTCTGAGGCAAGCTTAAAGTCTAAAACATGTGGCATCATGAGGACAAACAGATGGCCCAAGAAATGTTTTATATATAAAAGGAAACTGAGGCATACAGACAAGAAGGGATGCTCAGATTTCTTGACTAGTGTGCTAGGCTGGAAGGGTAGTAGAGAGTAGCTGTGAAGACACAACTCTGGAGAAATGGAGCCTTAATTAAAATTTCATTTTTTGCTACTTACCAGCTATCAGATGTTAGTCACTTACTTAAGCTATCTGTGCCTTAATTTCCTGTTCTGTAAAATGAGGTTATGAACAATATCCTTAAAGGTACCAAAAGAGCTGCTAGATGTAACATACTCAGTTGTGAATGCCACACTTTGGTCATTTATCTTTTGTACCTGATAACATAGATAACAGCCATACTAATTTTTGTTAATTAAATCAGTATCATGTATTTAGCCGAGTTCTAAACATTAAACAGATCTTTAAACATAGAAGCTGTGGTCTCAGCAATATGTAATATTAACAATAGATATTCTAAATTACTGAAATGTATAGCTCATGGGCAGGATGCTTTTGCTTGGCTAGGATGTATGGAAATGCATACATTTATTTAGATAGAATAAGGATGTCGGCTACATGGGAAGAAAATTTAAAGTGAAAGTTTTTGAATTTTCTAAACTTTGTTCAAATCCAAGAAAGATATGTAATTTGGATTCCATCCGTACTATCATATATGTCAACACAATGTAAATTCCATGAAGGCAAGACTTAATTTTGTTCATATCTATAGTCTGCACCTAGAGCTGGGTAAGTACTCATGTTTTTTTTACAAATGTAAAAAGTGATGGGGTCCAAGACTAGCAAAAGGTTTGGAAATAAGACAGCCATATGGGTCAGTTCTGGGCTCTGACTTGCTTTCCTAATGGCAGGAAGAAAGCTATAGGGCCAGGTTGATTTTCAAATTCCTGCTTATGAGTCTTACCAATTTCACTGCACATATTCACTGAAGAATCCAGACCTGCAGGTTACCTGATGAACATATTTGAACATTAAAGTATTTGTGAAATGGAGTTTTTTAAAAAAGATTTATCTGTACATACAAGAACTGAGGTATAGGTCTGAAGTGCGGGGTGTGAAAGGATTCACCAGAGACAGAGAGGGGAGCAGAACAGGTGCTGAAACACACTGCTTAGGGGAGCAGCAGGCGGGACAGGAGAGGTCTGCTGCACCTTGCAGGTCAGATCTCTGGCCAGGAATTGGGATCAAACTCATGCACCACAGTGGCTGGCAATAGCTTGCCAGTGCTGAGACTTTAACCTCTGTGCCACCAGGGCGGTCCCAAAATGTAATTCTTAAAACTTTAAGTTAATACCAAATATATTCTTGAGTGAATTTTTCTATTTTTATTATTGATTTTTTTTTAGCCAATATCATATAAAGATCATGTGGGGGTTAAAAAAAAAGATCTGCTCTACTTTGTACTCCTTGCACTGCCTTTGAGTAGTTAAATATTAAAGAAAAAAAAGGATGCAGAGTCCAAAGTCTGCAGAAACCATCTGTACAATAAAAATGCAAATTAATAAAAACATCAAATGCTTATAAAATTAACTTTCAAGTCTTCAAAACCCTATTTCTCAAGTTTAAAAGGCAGAATAATTGAACCAATATAGTTTAGGAAAAGTGGAGGTAACAGCAGTGATGCTTTGGGTAATCTTGAGAATCTCATGTAAACTGTGTAACTGGTGACTGCCACGACATATAGATATTTAATCATTAAATAATTACTAGTTGATTTCAGTCTTCCTCCCCAACATGTTAATCAACATTAATGAAACATTTTAATGAATTAGCTAAAGTGTAGCATCAGCCCTCAGAGAAAAGAACTCCAAAAACCTTTAGCAAAAACAAAAACAAAAAACCCAGCTTAAGTAAGGGGGGTGGGCAGGGGAAAGGAACCAGGAGGAAATAATACACACAAAAATGACACCTGCCAAAAAATGAACTTTGAACAAAAACAGCTCGGGAAAGTAAGTAATTACTACACCAGGCACGAAAGGAAAGTGCCTTTTCCTCCTCTACAGCCATCCTTAGGAAATTGTTCTCCTACATACAGCCCAACCGAGGTAAACCAGAAGCAAGAGACAAAGCCCGGAACCCACTCCCAGTGTGTGCACAACAGAAGGGAACAGTAGGGGCAGCCTGAGAAAGGGATGCAGCTCGAGTACTCTGCAGCCATATGGCTTAGAGCAAGGTGACGGACCAATCAGAACCAGAATCAGGAAAGTGGGAGTCAGTGAGTCACACTGCCTTCACAACTGTTCCTCTCCCAGGGCCTGACAAAGCCCAAGAAACCCGGGGTGGGGTTGGGGTTGGGGAGCCAGAGGGCGCATACTTACTTCAGTCCTTGAGAGAGGGGAGAAAAGGAAAAAGAACAGCTGTGCAGACTGGACACGGGTCAGACCGTGGGAGTGAGTAAAGTGCTCTCTGAAAGGAGGTGCTGGTACATTTTAGAGAGATCAGCTCAGAAATCCAGAAACGCACTGCTCCTGTACTCCTTGCTGAATAAAAGGATACCAAGGTAGGCTTGTACATGTCTGTTTTTTTTTTTGTTTTTTTTTTTTTAATCAAGGCCTGGGGGAAGAAACACTGGTGCCTTCAGTCACTGAAGTATCTATCAGTGCATTTTGAAACCAACAACCTAAAAATTTTTGGTGAGCTCCGCAGTGGAAGCATTCCTTGCACAATTCTTTTTAAAAGCACAGGCTAGTAAAGAAGGGCAGCGCATGCAGGAGCTGACTTTCCTAAACCGCACGGTCCTTTCCCAAACCCCACGGGCCGGTCTTGTTCTAGTTCTAGTTCAGTCTTGCAGTTTTGGCAAAAACAACGCTCACATTAACTCCAGCAGGACCCTGACCTGGGTCAGTACAAGTTCTGAGTTCCGGGGGAGCAAGAGAATACAGCGATAATGTTTCATAAATCTTAGCTGTTATCAAGCAAACTTCCTAAGTATCCTCTCAACTCCACAGGCAGTGGCCTCTAACTACTACCGTCATTTTAAACAAAGCAATTGTGATTTTTTCTGGCCATTAATGAAGGGTATACTGACACAAACAGTTTTTATATTTTCACCATATTCACATATAAAGGAGACCGTTTAAATACAGTTAATTATTCTGGAACAACATCCTGAAGCTTTGAGAACAGGCTATGTCTCAAATGGAATCATTCATCATTCATATCACTCAGAAGTTAATGAGACTTAGAAGAGGTAAATACAAACAAACAGAAAGTCAGACAAATGAAGGAAGCGAAAAAGGAAAAGTTGGAAAAATGAAAACAGACAGAGGGAGAAAAAAGTAAGTTATATAACGACAGGGCCCCTGTGTCAGGTGGAACCAGAATGGCTAGTGCTGCTCCCTTCAATCCATCTGTCAAGAGCTGCTCTATAAACCCAGCATGTAATTCCACGTCAGATTCCCTTGACATTCGCAGCCCTACGTTTCATCGGGCTCATTCAAGGCAGAGTTTACAGAGCCCTGACACTGTGAATTGCAGTTACTGAGTCAGGTCGTCATGGCGATCGATACTGTGATACCCACCAACACTGCTGATGCAGTCACATGACAGCAAGGCAGACCCCAAAGAAAAAAGGCAAGTTTATGGGTTGGTTCAATAGAAGATTTAGTTCCCTTTTTCTGCTTATGTCAACCATCCAGAGTTTCATGCCTGGGACAAACCAGAAGGGAGATGTGTAAAGCAGCCCCACTCCTCTAATCAAGCCTCCAGTTTATTTCTGTCCAACTCTCACACCAACATTTGGAAGATTCTCTCAAAGGGATTCCAGGCAAAAGGCCCTGCTCTCTGCAGGTAGACACACCAGTGTTCAAATCTCTGCTTTTCCAAATACTTACTCAACTTCTTTGTCCTCATTCAGCATTTTTTGCTTTATAAAATGAGAGAGTGACGCCCACTCAGAGAGCTTACCATATTATTGCTTAAAAAATCACCCTCTTTCCCCCCCCCCAAAAAAAAAACACCCTCTCCCTAGCCTCAGGAAACAACCACACAATGAGAAAATACAACCTTCACCTTTCATACTACTGGGCTGAAAGAAACGTGCAAAGTTTTACAAATCTAGAGTCAAGAACAATTCTTACTTATAATCTTCATACCAAAAATGCAGTGAAAATCATTCCAGGTCTTTAGAAACCACTGCTCATAACAAAACTGGGGATACTTAATTTTTTATGTTTAGAAAAACTAACACAGAAAAATTTGTGTTTGTTGACGAAATCAGTATTTACTCACAGAGAAAGTTTCCACTGTCTGGCTGGAATTCAACTACTGCATTTATAAATAACACCAATATTCATCAGCACTGAAGATGTAGGGAAGAAGTATGAGACAGTTTTCAGAACACTGCCATGTAATTACCTTCTAAAGAAAAGGGTATGTGTTCCTGGCATGGTTTAAGTGACAAGCTTATAATCCAGAGTAAAAGGTGTATGTTGTCTAAAGGAAATAGAAAAGTTAAGTGGAAATTCTACCATTTATGAGCAAAACACAGGGAAATCAAGCAATAAACTCAAAATAAGCTGCCTCTTAATAAAGTAAGTGAAATTCAGTGAGCGAGTATACCCTGTTACTACAGAAATCTTCCAGGGAGACACACAGGACAGAATCCTGACAGAGGGGGAATACTGGTAGCAACAGCCGTAAAAATACACATTGCTAAAAATAACTTCATCTTTATTCATTTTGCAAGCCAATGGTAGGAAGCTTTTCCCCCAAACTCTCCAATGTTTGGTTTTGAGGCTCCAAATAGCTTCCAACCTTTTTAATCTTTTAAAAGAGAGAGACATACCCACTGAAAATAACACTTGTTTGATAGCAGCAGTATTTCCAACCTTATTTCACAAG